GCATGGGGCCAAGTAGGCAGTCTAACCCCTCCTCCCGGTGTCGAGTCTAGGGGAGGTGTTGTTAATGTTGACGGAAATCCAGAGTGGGATTCGACTAAGATATGGAGATACGTAAACAGTTTCAAGGACAATATCCTTAATATGCATCCCATAATCATTCCGAGGGAGCTTACCGCAATGGTTAAAATATTTCTTGAGTCTTTACCAAAGTCGCAAAGTTACCAGAACAGCAAACTCGGTGCGAGTGCGAGATTCGTCAACCAGCCGAGCGCAATACCTCCGTCTTTTTCTGAAGCGGGGACGAAGAGGAAGCGATCACCTGCCGCGGACGAGCAAACCCCGTCGACGTCGTTCGTGAAGCCTGGCCGACCTTTCCGAAGTGTCCATAGTGCTCTTGTCCTAATGGTTTTCGCTTTAGGCAAAATTTGCTTGCACAAGGACAGGATACCAGATCCGGTTCACGAGTCGGACTCGCCGATGCACCATTCACCTTCCGTTCGCAACGGCGTTCTAGCATCACCTTTACAAGGATCGCCCCCTGGATTTTTATCTCAGTCCCAATCTAATATGGCATCTCCTAAGGAGGGTGAGAGGGTTCCCATGAGCCGAAGGCCCTCTCTACAAGGAAATACGTCGGCTTCGAAGGGACCACATTCACACAGGCGGAATCTAGACATAATACCCGGCCTTGAGTATTTTGCTCTTGCGATGGATATCATGGGTAGCCACATGGGAGGATTCAATTTAAAACACGTCTATGTGCATATTTTGGCAGGGCTTTATTACGGCCAGCTTGGTCGTGTACTTGAGAGCTGGTCATACATTTCCCTTGCAAGTCGAAATCTGCAAGTCATACTAAGACCGTAAGTGGAAGAGACTATGGCTGGGGAGATAACTTTATGAATGTCTGGGGTAACTAACAAGAACGGATTAGGAGCCTCGACCGCTTATCGAAATGGAATGACCAAGGTAGAAGCATTGGACAGTCACGCAGAGACAATCAGCTGGCATTTGCCTTCTGGACATGCCTGCAATTAGAAAGGTAATATTGTCCAATATTGCTTCTATCTTATTATACGCTAACACTCGGGATGATAGTGACATCCTCGCCGAGCTACCTCTTCCTCAGTCAGGTATCTTGCAATATGAAGATAGGATGCCATATCCAAACTCGGAGTATGCTGTCAATCAAGGTTTCTCAGAGCACATAGTAACGGGTTATATTGCACAGTTGTATCTTCGGAAACAACTTAACCAAGTGCATACCCTGCTCTACGATTCGGACAAGCAGAATAAGCACAAGAACGGGATTACGTTAGACGACCCCGCGATCGAAGAAGGTATTAAGCGGATCGAGGAGATGCTTAGGAACTCGAGAAACCGTTGGGTGCCAAGCAGCTACCGATGGAATGATAATGACCCTCCGGCGAACGACATACTGGGAGCCCGTCTTCGTGCAAAGTATTGGGGTTCGCAAGTTATTCTCTACCGACCTTTTCTGAGGGCCATTCTTGAACGAGAACCTTGGCCGTATCATAACCAAGCGGGGTCTCCAGATGCTCAGCAGACTCCCGAATATGCAGAAGTCCCCCAGGGTGTAGACGGTAGGATCGTCAAATATGCCAGCTTAGCAATCTATGCCCTCGTCGAGAGCACTCGAGCATTCCATGGAATACCTAGTAGTCAGCGCATCATTATCACCAACGTATTCGGAACAGCTCATGCGTAAGTTCAATTAGTTAACACAGGAAATATTACTGGTCGCTAACATATTCCCAGTCAATGGGGAAATCTTCTAACCCTGGCAGCATGTTACAGAGATAGATATCTACACAAGTTCATCGATGCGGAGACACTAAGCAACCTCTTCTCTCGGACGATCTCCTTCTTCCAATCGATTGCCCAACCCACGAGCGCGCTAAGGGCTGATATGAACATATTGATCGGCCTGGCTAAAGACCTGGGATTCATTCGGGATGAGTACGAGGTTACAAGTTCGAGCTTTTCGAGCTTTTCAAGCAGCGGCCCTCTTCCTCCTATGCATAATCCTAGCGACAACTATCATGTTCCTCCATCATCCGCACTGGGACGGCCTCCACATTTACCGCCACCGCCGCATTCGATCCCTTGAGTAACTTGGTAACTTGATTTGGTGGACTGTACAAAAATGGAATGCGTAAACGACATCGACCAGTGATGTTATGGTGTTATGGGCTCTTCCGTCTCCGAGAAGTCGTCTCAACAGGTCATGGGACCTACTTCTATTCGGGTTCCGACGGCTACATTTTCGATACTAGTTTTGGAGCACGAGTTATCACTTACATGATTTGCATGGGGTGCCTATATGGCAGATATGAAGAGGATAATTTAGTTTTGGCGGTTTTGCACCTGGCAACGGCGTTTTGGGTTGTCCTACGTGACACCATGTTTGGCTCTACGGTACCAATTTTTACGCACTACCACTACAGAAACACAATTGTGTGTATGGTCTCCGGCAAATTTTCATTTCCATTTCGTCATCATTCGTGGCACCATCCCACTGGAGCATACAATACCGGCGTTTTTATCGAGGCAGCATTGGAAGATCCCTTGTGAAAAAAAAATTTACGGACTCGAAAGCTGAGGATACCCCTTGCGAGAGCGCATCTGGTCGTGCTTTGCACATACATTTATATATCAACACCGACAAGTATATACTTTTTGAATTTGAATCCTTGGCTTACCACATAATTTTTGGTTGTCTCCTCGACGTTATCCTGTACATCTTACTGATAGAAACAGCCCGAGGAGGTTTGAGAATATAGCATAGTGCGGCGTTTACATGCGACACCCGCCCTTAGTACCTACCGGGAGAAGAGGCACTCCGCGGTAAAAGGCCGTTCGGTCCATGGCACTTGGGCTATCCTTCCCTTTCGGACTGGTTGCATATGTATTGTTACCCCTTTCCCGTCATTTGTCGAGCGAATTTATCACTAGTCGGCACCCTGAGCGGTCAGGAACTCTTCGTCTCTTTCGTTGATACGGACAGCAAGATAAACGGGTTCGCTTTTCCGCATTGGCCTACTTCTCCCGGAGGGAGCGGAGGAAATACCACATTGGTTTTGTTATTCAGGATTCAACAAGTTAACATGGATGGATTGCTCGGGTTTGACGGGGCACACCAGTACAATACAAAGGCATCATGTGTTCGAATGTGTATATATATACAGGTGCGACATATACTATTTTGGGTTTGCCGTTTTTTCCAGGCCGTTGCATTTGCGTCCGAGTTTTGGTTACACGTTCCTTTTGTGCGTAATAGCAAGTTGTTGGGCGAGAGGGAATAGGCGGCTAGGGGAATAAGGGGCGTCGGAGCTGGCCCTCGGCATACGTCAAAACCTATCTAAGTACTTATTAAGCAGCGAGATAGGTTATAGCATTGGCGCCGCCAAAAGGGAAAAAAAAGAATTGCGCGCATATTGAAGATTTGTCGGATCGAAGATGATTTGTGACTTCGTCTGTCACCGGACTCTGGTGTAACTATACCCAAGCGTCTGGAGCCAACTCCAGGTGCTGTTACTTGCTATAAATATATATATATATATATATAAATACCTATTTAATGTGCGCCCGGGGTAATGCGCCGCAAAAAGCATAGCATAGCATCGCACCGGGTCGTACCGACAGACAGACAGACAGACAGACAGACAGACAGACAAACCACACTCCTGACTTCGCGATCCGCGCGGTCAAGCAAGATATATGGGATGATGGAATGAGGTGCATTTGGGGATTCCTGGCATATGCATCGTTGGTTACGTACGTGCCTAGTAGTAGGTTAGGTAGGTTCCAATGGTAGGTTATCTGGTAAGTAGGTAGGTAGGTAGGTAGGTAGGTGCGGGATCGGTTCTCGCGTCTGCGAAACGGAGGACGTGGAGACGGAGGGGGGTGGGACGGGCTAGACGGGATATTCCGACGCGGCTTGGGGGAGGGGGGAGGGGGGAGGGGGGAGGGTAACGCAGGGTTTGTCGTTGGTCGTTTGCAATGTGTGCTCGTACGTATATACATATACCTAGGATAGGTATGCAAGTATGTATAAGGTATACACCATGCATCCTTTGAGATGTATACTACACTGTATTATGTATAGGAGGTATGTACCTATATATGTATACGAGGTATGTATGTATGTATGTCGAGAACGTCTTGTACGCCCCAACTACTTACTAACCGTCGCGAGTAGCAAAGCAAAGCAAAGCAAAGCAAAGCAAAGCAAATCGACGCAAAGCAAAGCAAAGCAAAGCAAATCAACGCAAAAGCAAACCGCTACGGCTATCGTCCGGAAGAGGGAGCAGAACTTATGCGCGTGAGTACCTACGTACGAGAGGATATAAGTACTTACTGCTGTTTGCATAGGTTAGGTACCTACCTATCTTCTTGTGTGTCCTCCTTGCGCCGGATGCATGGATGTGCTGGTGTGGCTGGTTTCGTGGTACGTGGGACATGGCGATAATATAACGGTGGCGAGAAACGCGGCCGTTTGTTGGATTACCTACCTAAGATAGGGTAGGGTAGGATAGGTAAATACCTGGCTGGTTGTTTGATGGACTAGCTGGATAGGGGTAGGTGTGTGGTGACAGGGTCAAAGGTGGCTTTGGTTGATATACGCCACCATGTATGTCATTATAGTGTAGTTATGAGTTACAAGCCATGAGGATAGATATCCTTAATAAGTATACGGCAAAAGAGTAAATTCCAAGTAGGAATACACCGATCAGCATAACGCCATGCTATATATTCTTGCTCAGGAACGTAGCCGTGCCGCTCGTACGACGTAATTCGTCCCGGTGTTCTAAATACCTAAGGTATCGTAGCGATGTGCCTCCAACCCGTTACGCCCTACCCCTTACATAGCAAACCGTCTAAACCTCCCTATAACCGAAAAAAGCATGTACACATACGCACGCTACGTCGGGTCCTCTAGGCGATCACTCAGTTAGTCAGTTTGTTAGAAAACGTTACTACACGTCCAACGGCTTAACGACAAGGCACAACCACCCATCCGGATACGCCGCCTCGCGCATGAGCTCCTCGAGCGGAGCGCCGAAGGGCACGTGGGCGCCGTGTAAGACCGCGTCCGCGAGCACGGGGTCCCGGCTGCTGGGGAACAGGCTGGGGAGTAGGCTCCGAAGAGCGGCGCCGAGGGTCCGGGGATGGCCTGGTGCGGGTTATGTATATTAGGAGGATTGGTTACGAGTAAGGGAGGTTTAATAGGGGTAAAGAGGAACATACGCTCGCTGACGCGCGGCTGTACGAGCGACTGTACGAGCGACTGCACGACTTTAAACGACGCGGCTTGGCTGTCGGCGGCCGGGTCGTCGGTGGACTGTGGGATGTACACGCGCATAGGCACGTTACGCAGACCGCGCGAGGTGTTGAGGAGGCGTGCGTTGACTTTGGCGAAGGACGCGTAGTCATCTGGTGCCGTATAAGTCAGCTCCGCTCTTGTAGGGCGTTGTTACAGCCTTACTATCTTGCACCGCGTTCCATAGGGCGGTGGTGTGGTCCTTGGATAAGGACATGATTTGGTGCGCATTGCCGTTGCGTATGAAATCAGCCTGGTTCTAGTTAGCTTTAGGTATCCTTGTCTAGTTCTATCTATCTATCTATTGCTTTGCATCTTCTAGCGCTTATAACAGAGTGCCCGTCTCCGCAGAAGAAGTCAGACATGGGGAAGGGCGGAGGGGTACGAAGGCGTACGAAGGCGAATGCGGAAAACAAGAACTTGCCTCTTTGGCGCTATTTAGAAAAGTATCTCCAATATCCCAGCTTAGGCCATCGGCAACGGTGAGACGCCACGGCAAGGTGGGCTGGTACAGGTCGACGAGCAAGCCGACGGCAAGATTGCGGAGTAGTACGTCTTCGTGATGGAAACTGGAGCACGGCAAGCCGAAGTAAGCGGACAGGCGCGGCAGCAGCAGGGCTAGGTAACTGAAGCGCGGCACCGATGCGACAAAGGGCGCATTAGGCGCGCCCGTATGGGTCACGAGGACTGGAACCTGCAGATCCCAGAGGGTCTGTGGGATGGCGGACGGGGACGGAGAGGATGCCGGCGCCGAAGCCATGTTCTAGGTGGTCTTCTGTATGTACGTATGTATGTATGTATGATGTATGTATGCTGCGGTTGCGCTCTAAATGGATTAACTAACTAGGTACTTTAGGTAAGAGGTAGGTAAGTAATTAAATTACTACCTCATCTTCGCTGCGGACCCTAGTCTAGTAAGTAGTAAGTAACCTAACATGTATACAGAATGTTGTTTTGGCAACTTGTGGTAGACGATAGACGATAGATGATAGATGTAGATGATAGATGACGATGACGATGACGATGATGACAAGGTAATGTCAGTCGGAAGTTGCTTGTTGCTGACTTGCTGCAACGAAATGAAACGAAACATTACCGAGTACCCTAACCTACTAGGTAATGTAATGTTTGACACCCCGGCCAAGACGGCCGATCGGCGTTGCATGCAGGGTGGATACCTGTACCGCGTCTGGAAGGATACCGAAAAGTTAAGGCTGAAAAAGAGCGGGGTAGCTTTTTAAGCTATCTAGAAGAAGACTAGCGTTGTTCTTCGCAGCGAAGTCCTGGTTCGAGCCCCGCCAACTCCGGAGCCCATACCACAAGTTGTGCAACTTAGGTACGCGGACCTTGAGTTTCTCGGGTTCGGAGTTTGGTTCAGGGGGGGCTTTTATTAACTACCTTACCTACATACACTACATGTATGTACTGCCTGCTTGCTTTGTACAGTACATCAGTTATTCTACTTGTGGACTAAGGTTGTGTTTTATTTCTAGCGTGTTGTATGTATGAGGTATGTATGTATGTATCATAAGTACATAACGTTAGGTACGTAATACCTAAGGAAGAAGCCACATGGTTCATATATATTGAAACCGAGTCCCCTCAAGACATCACACACATGCAGAGCAGAACATGTGATGCGATGGTCTGTCTGTCTCAGAACCACTGTCTCAGAGCCACATGTCCAACGTATGTATTTCTTGTATGTAAATTATTATACCTACAATCCATGAATCCATATCAATACAGACTGATATCAATACAGACTGATATCAATACAGACTGATATCAATACAGACTGATATCAATACAGACTGATATCAATACAGACTGATATCAATAGCCCCTCGTCGGCCCTATGTATGTATATACATACATACATATCGCAATCTCGGCTCCACACGTTCGGGGCGGCATTTTCTGTACTACTATTTATACGTCGAACCTTGGTACGAATAACACGACGTCGCATCTACCGCAACGTTGGAATTATAAAGCGAGCAAATATGTATGTACAAGCTAAGCTTCCGCTCCAATGGGAGCTTTGGAGGAGGAAAAAAAAAAAAAAACCCTTGCGACAAGCCTAGGTTAGTGGCCTCATATGTATCTTGTCCCTTGTATACCTATACACTACGCAAATGAGCTGTCGTCTCAATCTTGATATACCGTACGTAGTTACTCGAATTAAAAACTTGATTGTTTTTCATATACGGTATCTGCATCGCACTTATGTTGTCGAGCGGAGCAAACATCGTCGAAAAAAGTAAAAAAACGAAAAGGAAATCTTGGTTTTGTCTTGATTTGCTTATTTTATTAGTTACCTAGGTAGTTTACTACTATGTATAAGAAACCTATCGTGCGATTCTTATTGGTGGGGTTATATTATACTAACAGCCTACAGGTACATAGGTAGCGTTTAAGACTTGTATCTTAGGTTAATTAAAGACGTCCGAGCGGGCTTGAAAAAGTCTGGTTAACGGCCCCCCTATCGTATGCTTGGCGAGTAAGCATGAGGCGGATATGTTTGCTATAACCCTGTAATGCATCTAACGTAGTGATCGGTTCGATGGCCTTTTTGACTACTACCCTACGCGGCAGTTAGGTTCGATAGTTCGATAGTTAGATATCTACAGTAGAGTATGTGTGGTTAGAGGTAGTCAAGTCTACTGAAGACGGAAGACGAACTAGGTTAGATAGATGTAGTCAAGGATTCTTTGATTCTCCCAGACTCTCGACTCTCCGTAGGTATTTATCTAGATTAGTTACATACTTCAACTATATTAGAAGTTGCATTCAATCCACGATAAACTCCCTATGTCATCATCCCTTCAAGCTAAAGCATATACCAGTGCTCAAGCAGTCAAGTACGTAACTAGATCTAGCCTCCCCTGTTGCCCTTGCCCGGGGCAGCACGGCACAAGGTTCATAATATGCACTAGTTATCCAGCAGCCAACCGGGGGAATAGCCACCATGTGGGCCTTGTCAAGATGGTCCCGGCGTAAGATAAGTGACGACGAAACGTGCGTATCCTATATTCCGTAATGCGACGGTAAACGGGGACGAACTTAGTCGTCGTCGCTGACCTCGATCACGATCGATTCGTGCGTATTCGTAGTGAGGCTGCCGGACGGTCTAGCCAGATCGTTCACGCCTCCATCGGGGCTCTCCTCCTTGATTCTGCGCCTGGACGCGCCATCGTCTGGAAAGGTCGTCATGCCATCGACCGAATCCTCCCGCTTGATCTGGGTCCTAGTGGGTTCGTTGTTTGTGAGGTCGCTTGAGTTATGAGATGAGTCCTTGGCCTTGCCGACTGGCCGGGAGTTCAGAAATGTAAGCTCATCTTCTTCCGAGTCCTCTACCTCGGAGTCCTCACTAATCATCCCAGGCACCGTAAAAGCATCCCGAGGCTTTTTACTATGTTTAGTGCCAAAAGCGTTGTCCTTAAGCATCTGCTCAAGCTCACGCATGGGCATCCTGTCGTTCATTACTTTTAGAACGGCCAAGCCCTTGTCTTTCTTTGGCTTCTTTGCGTCCGCGTCTTGTGCGGCTTGGATATCCTGCTCTGTGACCTCGGTTTCGCTTAGTAGGCCCGCGAGCACCTTTAGCTTCGTCGGAGGGGCCAGCGAGAAGTCGATTTGCGGCAGAGGTAGCATCTCAATGTTGTTCGCCCCGAGCCGAATGCGTAGTATAAGTTCCATGGCTCTCTCGAGTACAGGAGAGTCGTTAAGATCCTCAACCTCCCATACGCGTCTAGTCGCATTATTGCCTTCGCTGCCGTAAGATAGCATCCTGCGAAGATTGTTCTTCTTGTGGCAGAAGTAGCCCCTCACCTCCATGGGAAATTCTTTGTATTCCTTGTAATAGTCAGAGCGAGACTTGAGATCGAGAAAATCCCCCCGTCGTCCCCCAAATAGATCGGTAGTCGAGACATCATCCTCATTTCTCTTGCGCTTTTTCTTAAACGGCAGTTTAATGCGCACAATAGAATTCTCCTGGGCCGCTCCAGTCTGCACAGCGCTTCCATCCTCCAGTTTGATCCGCTTGGAGTCCGGCTCTTCGTTATTTGCCATAGGATTGGAGATTAAGTTCTTGTCCGCTATGAGCTTCTGAGCCTCTGGTGTCTTCCACACTTCGTCGATCTCGGATTGAAAGAGGTTAAGCACCTGTACTAGGACGTCGTTCATTGAGCCCTGTGCTCGAGTTCCTAGCTCAGGAAGAATCTTCTCGACCTGTCGGCTCTCGCGGAATGAATGGAAGGAATTGTTGACCTTCAATCTGTGTACCTTTACGTCGGATTCTTGACCGACCTAATCTTCGTTAGCGGCTAAAGTATATCCAAGTAATTTCAGTAATCAATAGGTTAGGTACTCACTCGAATAACCCGGTGTACAGCTTGGGACTGAACAGAAAGGCTGAAAGCCTGCGATGCGACTATGACCTGTGAACAATTCTTATGCAGGTTTGACCCCGCGAAGCCAACGGTGTACATCTGTATCAGAACCTGGCATGAATGATCCGAGTCATCATTGAAATCGGCGATGAGCTCTCTGCGTTCCTCAGATGATAGACCAGCATGGAGGGTACGGCAATGGATGAGAAGGAACTGGAGGACAAGCTCATAGTAGTATGCTAACATAGGACTTGCCTCGGTAATTAAAAGCTTCTTGATCTTGCCGTTCGGACCCCTATCTAAGAGGTTCTCCTTGATGTAATGGAGGATGTATCGCAAGATAGGCGACTTGCGCACCGCTAACTTGATATAATCCAGTGCCACTTTGGGCTTTGATTCGTGCGTCCCAAGGAGAAACGGAGCGAGATGCTTGAAGTTAACATTCGCTTTGCGCATGGTATGGACGTCCTGGGAGTAAGTGCCAAATCCGTTCAATGTAAAGAGCTTATCCAGCTGATACACATCAAGAGAAGCGGCTGCGAGCTGGAATAGACGGTGCAAGGAGAGTACCGACTTCAATTCAGCGTCTTTGTTAGTTTTCCTCCAGCTACTGACTGTTTTCAGGTACTCGATAAGTAAATTTATATGTATTTTCTGGTATTCCTTCTCTATAGCTTCGTCGCGTTGGATGTTGACTGTGTAGTTATCAACGGTAGGTAGTAATCCGTCCACTATAAAATTAGCAGTTAGCAATTATTACTTGGTAAATTGGCAATCTATGGGCCTTCAACGATGTTTTTGGGGGTAACTAGATGGCTTCATAGCGAAGTGAAAGGGCTCCTATAATGCTGGAAGAAGAGCCATATAGGCGCCACTCACAAGAAATTTGGTTAGTACTCTCCCAATCGACGTCCAATCGCGAACTTGGCGCTCTTCGCAAAATCGCTAATGATTCGTAGTACTTCAAAAACTTTCGAGTCTCCTGGATGTCGACAGCAGAGGATCCCCTGAACCTGTAGATCAGCTTTGCTAGTAAAGCCGGGCTCCCCGCGATAAGGTAGCGGTCATCTCTAGGTGATATGTCGTCAAGACGTCGTAAATCATGAGGAGTTGTAAATACTGCTTGGACACCATCTAACATCTTTTTCTCGCGTAGGTGCTCTTGTGGGTTATCCCAAAGCATCTGAATAGGACCCATGAGGTCTGCTATATGGTTCTGGCACGGGGTAGCTGTCAATAAAAGGGTAAATTGGCGTTTAAGGAGAGCCACAGACTTCCAGTTCCTTGTCGCCGTGTTCCGGACCTTGTAGGCTTCGTCGACAACTACAACGGAAAACCGTCGGCCCATGTCTGTGTAGGTAGAATTCCATGTCTCGTTACCTATTTCGTCCTTTACAACCGAGCACGTTCTCCCGGAGAAAGCATCAATGGACATGATAATGACAGTCTTGGCTGCCATAAAATTATCTTCATCCCAGACGTAGTTCAACGAATTCGGCCAGTTCCTATCAAATTCCTTGCGAGTGAGACTGCAGACTCTGACCTGATCGTCTCTTTTTTGGAAGCCATGTCCAGATATAATTATTTGTTTAATGCCACGCTTACTTCCAATCATATCGATTTCATCCATCCACTGTGTAGCAACAGTGGTATTTGGTGTTAGGATTAGAATAGGACGGTATCGCGGTTTGCCGTCTTCGACCGGCACGTTTAGCCTCTGACTTGCTAGAATATCTAGAGTAGCGATAGTAGTCAAAGTCTTTCCAAGACCCATCGAGTCCGCGAGGATCCCACCGAAATACTTAGGGCCGCGAAGCTTCTCTCTGTTGTCCTTCTCGATCCGCGTTTCAGGTTCTTGGATGTATCTTTTCTTGGTCTCATCCCAAAGCTCTTTACGCTTTATCTTAAGTCGTGGAAGCTCTCCTAAGAATCTCGATAATATCCAGACGATTGCCGTAATTTGATTGTCTAGAAAGCCTCTACGACCCTGCTCACCATCTAGTTTAGGGAATAGAGGTGATCGCCAAATTGCCAACTTATTCCGGCCGTATTCGCCGCATTTCTCCATTCGCAGATACATGGCGCTGGCTTCGATCGGGGGCCCAAGGCTATTGGGAGATGCTGCAATTATGCACTGCGCTATCGTTCCAACTTCCTGAACAACCTCACTGTCGGTCTCTTTGGGGCTGTTTGGGTCCTGGATATTAATACGTTAGAGCTAAGCTAGGAGGCCAGCCTTAGGTCAAAAGCACCTACCTCGGCATCTATTTCACGCTGGCTTTCGGCTTTAATGGTCTCGGTAATTTTCTCGAGGGCCTTTTGCTTGCTGGTACTCATCTTGACAGATTTACCCTGCATAATTCCCCCAGTTATTTCGAAAGGGGTATCGGGCAAATATTCACGCAGGGCTTCCTCAATAGCCCATTTAGCAAAGATCTGATTGTCTATCATTCGATCAGGATGGGGTGAGTGGCCGGAGTAAAAGTCCTTGATTTCTGCGAATTCAGTTATCAGAATGTTAGCAAGCTTCCTTATATAGCTTTAGAGTCAGACTCATACCCTCCTCTTTGAAGATTTTATACGGGTCTAGCCTTCCATGGTCTAACACTTTATCATGGGTCTGCTGAAGGTTTCGCCGGATGAGATTTCTCCAAGTGGACGAGCCACGCACCGTAGGTCGGGATGGCTCCGGGCCAGGCTGTCCTGGCTCCTCTTCTTCAGCCATAGTCACGGAGTGTTGAGCTGGCAGGTATGGGAAGTAATATCGCAACCTCACAATGTCACAATATCACGATATCACGGGATTGTAGTCGTCTGCAATATATGGGAAGTATGGCTATAAAGGTAGGTATGATATGATCAGAGAAATTGGAATGAACTAGCAAACACCATTAATTCGGTATGATGAATGAGGCAGGGGCTTCGCAATGGCAGGATAGCCTTCTAATGAAAAGTAGACAAAGTTTCAATGCGATTGTAAATGGTCAATCTTGAATGCTGGTACCGTTAATATACCTAGGTAGTTTTTACTTTTATCGGAAATGTGCTCTCTAGGTAGAGGGGTTGGTTGGGGAGACCAAGGGAAGAATTATAATTCCTCGATGAGGAATATAATACTGTTGATAAATGGAGTATAATCCAATAGTTAGTGTGTGAAGCTTGTCAAGTCAATATGGGGTGTTGGGGAGGGAAGGGGTATAAATGATGTGAATAGAGACAGTCTAATAGAGGCGGGTATAGATCTCTAGGTTCTTGCCATAAGAGTTGTCTTGGGACCTGCCATTAGTTTGAAGCTGCTTTTTGGGTTGATGCTGTAGTTGAACTTCACGGTTTAATCACTTTGGTATGTGCATAGCAAGAAGAGACTGTGCCCGCCCACTAAAGATGGAAGGTATGAATCTGCATATCAAGATGAGAAAAAAGCTACTGGTAAGGTGTCTTCTAGGTAGCCTGGGAATTATGGAGGGATGAATGATGTGCGGGTGCTTAGATGTAAGGTAGATGGTGTAAGAGGGCTATTTCTGGTGAGTAATTATGATCTGAAATGTAAAGGAAGGAAGGCATGGGTAAGATAGAGAGTGACGACAACGACGATGTCAAGGCAAAATACAAATCTGTGGAAGTGTTTGCAAGACCTTCAACTCAACTTACCTAGAGTTGTCGGTCACATTGGGTTATGCTATAAGTTTAGCATCGTGTCCTATTTCTTAGGCCCTAGTATGTGTGAAGGTTGGAAGATATTAGAATGGTTTCGTTAAGATAAAGATCCGTGTATTTGAGGTCGTGATATATGATGGGACGATGGAAAGACCCGTAGCAAGATGGTAGAAGGCAGGAGTTGTTACACAGAATTTGTACTGTATCCGTTCTAATACCTGCCTTCCCGTTAAGTTTCTTTACTAATGGGCTAGTTAATACCTATTGGATACCCGTGAAGGAATATCGAGAGGTACTAAGTCCCGAGGGTTCTAACCTACCTATGATATTAAATTACGGGTTTTATTTTATAAGAGGAAAATGCTATTAATGATGAGAATCACAAAGATGAAGACTATTATCTGGTAAAAAAGTTCATAGTGAAAGTGAAATCTGGTTCATGCATGTTGTTGGTCGGTTCGACGATCGGGTTACTTACCGTTTGACGTGATCTGAATTATTTGGACAGGGTTGTCTTTGAGAAAGTTTGATTGGGTAACTAGTTGCTACTCCCCGTTCAACTACCCCTGTGCGATCTAGTCACATATCAGATGGACATAAGACCCCCATTCGGTGGCTTTCTAGGCACAGCAAACGCTCGAGAACGTGGCTGCAGCTGCTATCCAATATTATGTACCTATCCATGCTTCTGTTACTTATATATATCATAATACCTATGACACATCAGATACGAATCAAGCCAGCATTGGATAAGCAAAGAAGCCGGGATACTTCTCGTCCAATCGAATTAGTTGAGAGGCAGCTATCCGATTTGTTTCAAGTCGATGATGTACCTACCTAGGTAGGTAGCGACTTTATTTAGCGAATATATGAGAATATTATGATACAGCTAGGAGAATACTCCGTCACTAGGAAGCACATATATCAGGCCTAACTTTAATATTTCGCTATGCGTAGAACGACAACGCTTGCCACCCATTCATTCATGCTTTCCACCTTAGATATCAAACCCAAAAGCGATACAACAACCCTAGACCTTAAACCTGAACCCATGCTGTGCCGCCGCTCCCGGAAGTGCGTTGATGGCTCCCTTGACGTAGATACCCTGGTCGAGTTTCCTATTCAGCCGGACGAGCATGATACGCATGACAGTAGCCGCGATCATGGCGAGGAAAATAGTACCGCAGTTGACCGACATCGCGATGATATAGCGAGGCGCCATCCTGTCTTCGTACATGTACGAAGCGTAGATACTCGAGGAGTTGGAAACGGCGTTGATGAAAGCAAGCGCGGCTGCACGTTTAGCTGGCGGTCGAGGAAGCGTGTTGCTAATCCAAGCAAGAGCTACGACGAAGGCACAGTAGACTCCCGGGACCTTTTTTAAATATTAGAGGAGACATTCTAAAGTTACAACGGTGAAGCCAACTTACCATAAGCATCATGGCCACATATCGGGGTGCCAGACTGGTGGTTGCTGCCGCGAGAATGAACGCCGCCATGGCGACGGCGAGCGGGAGCATGATATGCCAGTAGCGCTCACCGGTCCTATCTGCATGCCACGCGTTGATAAAGGTTGTTATGACGGCAAGTACATACGGGGGACATGTCAGGAGAAGCGTGATCACGTTGCTGTAACCCAGAGTCTTTACCACGGCCGGAAAGAAGTTCGTAACAGAGCCGCTCGCATTAATACCGAAAAGGAGAACTAGCTAGACTCGGTTAGTCAATTTAACGCACCCAAAGCCTGCTGTTGTAACTGACCAAGACCCAAGTTTTCAAGTCCGCAAAAGCTAACCTGGCACCCGTCCATAGGGATTGATGTTCGCTGTCGATCCAGTCATCCTCGCCAATATCCTCTTCTAAGCGCCAAATAGCAAGGGCTTTCTCCTCTTCGCTTAACCATGTGGTCGTCCGAGGGAAGTTAGGCAGGATCCAAAAGGCAGCGAATGCAATGCCGACGGTGATGACGCCTTCGATGAGGAAAAGCCACTGCCACGCATCTAACCCTCTTACGCCGTTCATGTTTTGCGTTATTCCCGCCGAGATCAATCCGGAAAACGCGCCTGAGATCAGCGCCCCTGAATAGAGAAGCGCCGTGCGCAGTCCTAGCTCTTTACGCGTATCTGGAATAATGTTAGTACGATCTGACGGATGATATCCTAGGGCGTTATATCGAATGGCTGCGGAATAAATCACGTACTACAAAGAAGTTAGCGGCTGTATAGAGCGAAACTCATAATGATCTTTAAACATACCACCAACAACTCAGATAATAGAGACAACCGGGCTAGAAGATTGTTAGTTAGAGTTTCCAGACCTGACAAGAGTCTCCAATACTCACGAAATAAGCCGCCTCAACGAAACCCAGAAAGAAACGGACGGCAATAAGCCCGCCGAAGTTGGTTACCGCAGCTGTTGCAGCCGAGATAACACCCCATACCATCATCTATCATGGCCAGTCAGTTCACCACAAGTCCACTTAATTGTTATGTGCATCGAAATCAGCTCGGAACATACGCATGCTGGGAGGTAGATAGCCGGCTTGCCAATCTTGTTCAAGAATAGATTCGATGGTATCTGCATGAGAAGATAGCTGGAGTCCCGGTAAGGTTAGTTGTCAATCTAGGCCTCGTTTCCCATCATTGGAGGATTCTTATACTAACCCGACGAATAAGATGCTCACAGCAGTCTATATAACAACGTCAATATCTTCGTCTTCATAGCAGGTTACGTGCTGCGCACTTCAAATTCGCTGGTGTTTGGATCTAGATTCAAATCTTCCGGCAGACCTGCGAGCTTTGCGGCCGCGATATTATTCCTACAACCTGTTAGCATTTCTCGAGTACGGACTAGCGGTATGGAGTCCTAACCGGTCGATATAATTCAAAATGTCTAAAGTAGAAATGGCGTGTTAGTATGCTTTCCCCTCAACGGCGAATAAGAAGAAAAAAAACACTGAAGATTCACTGACACATGAGAATGATAATCGGAAGCAATCGCCAGTCGATTTTTCTCCTCAACCGCGTTTCCAGCTCAAGACGCTGCTCGGGCGTCAACCTCGTCAAGATCTCCGGCATTCTCAACCCCCTCATGTTAGCCTGAGTTAGGTTCGCGACATCAGGTATGCCGTGAATAGTAGACGTCCCGCCATCTTTGCCGATGGCAGTCTCCTCAGATGAGACCGCCTTCTCAGGGTCGCTTTTCTCGCTCAGTGTGCTCGCCATCCTGGTCGGCCGCGCTAATTAGAATGTCTTGAAATCGTCGGGTATCTTGACTTTAGAATGTCGGGAAGAGCTTGAGCATATTGGAGACGAACACCCTTGGTTTTATTGAGTACCTACCTATCGTTCAAGGCAGGGTTGGAGTAAGGTCCGATAGCTAGGTAAGCTCGGCTTCATAAATCTACATTGCAGGATCGATGTGACGCTGCATATCAACTATCACTCACAGCTTACCCATTGACCCCCATTATCCAACCCCTCGAGATCGACAACTCCTCGGCAAGCTATAACCGAAAAGAAAGCACCTGTCCAAGAGATCAAAGGGCCCGGTTGTCGGTGGCAGTGTGCCCATGCAGTCATGACAATACTATGACAAGGAGACAACATGGGCTTTGTGTAGTTTAAACGAATAGGGTGACATTGGTGATGCTATTGGTTGCGGTTGAGGAGGAAGCCCCCTGCTAGCTCTATTAGTACCCCATGGGAATCCCGCTTTCGAAAGCCGGATTTGCGGGGTTAGCGGCCGTTCCGTCAGCTAAAACAGGCTATTCCAGGCCGGAGATATCTCCAACCAAGGTTCTTACTTACCCTCACTACACCACAACAGTTAAAAAGTTGCCTTCTTATACAGCCGGCTATTCTCTAATTGGCTTATGTCGGGTCTGTGGTTTGACGTATGCTAGAGCAGCCAGAATAGCTAGAGGTTAGAGGTAACAATCCAGGAACCTCAACCAAGTGGTCGCGTCGCATATAATCGAAGAGCCGAGGTTTCGGTACGGATTGATCCGACGAGGGTTCACCGACAACCCGTTTATAACCTATTCTCTCACGACATACTCTTGGCTAAGCCACGTCCGAAGATCCTATAATTTGAATAGCTTCTCTTTTTGCGGCAGTAAATCATGTAAGAATCTTATAATAGAGCTTTAACGTCGTCATGGCTAATAATCGGGTCTTCCGATATGCTCAACCGTTCCTTGTACCAAAGGGTCTGGCCTGCATTCTCGAGAAGAAATCAGCTAGCAAGTATTGAATAGACGAGCGATGAGTTCATGCAATCCTTTTATCATTAACAAAGTTAGGGTATCATATACAACGAACCTGCCTGACCGTGGCCGTAATTTTTTCATAAAGAATCCGAGAGCAGCTGCATCCGTACTGCTTCATGCTTCCCCCTCTCGAGTGCACTGTTGAGTTCTACCGCCATTATAGCATCAATCTCCTCCAGGCGCTTTTTATTCTCCATACCATTTAGCAGATCTGCTATCTTGCCGAACAGACCATTTTTCTTTTCCAAATCTTTCCTCTCTTCCTCGAGCTTGCTGAGTAGCTTCCTGCTTTCCAAGTCGTAGCAGATGTGGTACATTCTACAGTACGATTTCCATTCGATTGGACAATCCACTGCCTGGCCCTTGAAAAGCCACTGCCAGAAGTGCTCCCAAACTCTTCCCGAGAGGAAGTCCTCCAAGTCGGTCTGCATCAACCAAGTCATGCTTCTCTGATACTGGGATCTCGGGTGCCTCCTAACGGCATCCCTCGTAACCGCAAATTGCGAACAACATGGCCCAGCAAGGATCTCGGGAACATCGTTCGTCGCAAAGTTTTCGCTAAATGCCTGACGTATGAAGTGCTCTTCTTGTTTAGTGTCGTCGTACTCGGTCTTGGTCGTGTTAATCCAATCCGGACATGCGTTTTCCCAGGACACGCGCAGGTTGAAGTATTGTCTCTGCAAAACCTGCCTTAAGTCTAGATGCGACATGGCGAATACCAGGGACGAATTCAATGTGCGCTCCACATGCCACGGACTCTCGTCGGCATGGGTGAATATGGTGACATCTGGCAAGTTGTCGTAGAAGTCATGCATATAAGTTAGATAGATCATCGCCTCGCGTCCTTTTTTTGGTACTGGCGGATGATACGGTGCCTTCATATCATCAGTGACATAGCGGATGACGTTGAGATTGGGCAATCTGATATCCTCCGTCCATGAGATGTCATCTTTCCGAAGAGTGGCCACCACCAGGTTGACCGTGATCTTGCTGTCATCATGGGCGAAAGGCGAGTCGGTATGAGTTTTGCTAACGTTGAGTGTCCTATGGGAATCTTGAATCGCGACTCGAGGACCCTGAGCGGACCAGAAACTCTTAAATAGGAGGAATGAGGAGGCTATGATTAGGATAGCTGGGAAGGTGAATTTCCAGTAGAGAGGCAACCAGAGGTTGCAAGGACCCTTTGAAAATTTCATGGGAAGGATGATCGGGCGTCATCCCGTGTCAGTCTGTTCTTCAAATCCAAGACAAGTCAAATTGACTTAAGCGAAAGTTTCTGCTAAGAAGAATCGTGCTCATAAAAAACCTGGTATCGAAGAGGATAGTTGAAGAGACAGGGGAATAGGAGGATGGAATAAGAGAGCGGAATAATACAAAGTCAAGTTTGCATAGGTTAATGTGTGGCTACGCCAACCTCGACTTAGATTAGGTAGATAAGGAATGACTAAATATAATGAATCTGATGAGTTGTTACAATTCAGGTTTTTGCAAGTGAAAAGGTTAAGCAAACAGATCTTTAGGGTTCTAAGGTTATTGAAACTAATAAGACCCAGAGCCGCGCTTATGGTCACTGCGCAGTCGCAGCTGCAGTCGCGCTTGCACTTGCACTTACACTTACACTTGTACACTAAAGTGCTTTACTTTTATTTGCTTTTAGGGCGTATCAGAACAGAACTTAGTACATACCTTACACCCTTACACCCTTACACAAGCCAAGCTGGCGTTCTTTGAGGCTTTGACTAAACGATCAGCTCCTTTATCTTAAAATTCTCCCCTTTAAAACCTACATCTGCCTCTTTTACCCACTTAGATCTCTTATTGCCCAGACACGAAACCCAACTAGTGGCTCTAGGCAACAAAATTCAGGCCAATTGACCGCAATGACTTTTTATGCTCCTTAGATCGTAGGTACACCCCATTTCGGCATGAGAATCTTAAACAGGCAAGTATTTGTTTGTGATCGTATTGGTAGCGAATGAAATATTACAGAAGATCTTTGGGGTTATATTCAATTGGTCGAAATTCTGTTGCCTGGAAAGCTTGAAATGTCATGTTTGGATGTTTCAACTCGATCTACCATTGAATTATTACACAGGGAACTAATCCGCAAATCCGCAAATGAGACTTTAGCTGTCGGTTTAATGCCTTCATACAGACAACTACTTTACACCGCCATGAACAATTTCTCGTCTGTGGAGCTTCGAGAAGAAAAAGAAACCATGCAATTTAAGCGGACTGTTGTCACGATACAACGGGCTTAGATACTAGTGTAGAGGGGAAAGTCTACATTTGGAAGAGGGAAAAGCTAAGCGCTTCATTGCTCGTGGCTCATTTACAAATTAAGCGGCAGGGCAGACTCCATATCATGGGCCATGGCACTTGCATCCTCCTTTTTCCTCTGCCGTATTGGTGCGGTGAGACAGAATTGGCAACTGTGGAACAATAGAAGATTGAGATTCGAGGGGGATCGTCATTTAAACAGGGGATGTTCACTTAAGTCACACATGCTTGCCCGCAGCTATTACGAGCCTCTTTTCCTTTTCTGTTTGCTCATTGGTTCCCTTTTGGCGGAAGTGGAACTACATGCAAAACTATCGCGGATCAGAATCCACCGACATTTTCTAACATTACATAGTGTAAAGAATCAAAACCACTAAGTAATACTAAGTAATAAAACAGACCCCAAAAGGCCGAATTTATGACATACGCCGCGCCCTATACACAAAATTCTTCCGATTCCTCGTCAGCTCCTCGAACTAGTCCACGACGCGTTCCGCATTTACACTATTAGTACTATTAGTTGTCAACGAAAGCCCCAGAATTAAGACCTAGTTAGTTAAGGCGTGGACACTTACGTATGAGCTACACACATCGAATGCCTTTATACCCTATCTCGAATATTTCGGTTTAATACGCGTAAGCCACCTGTAGTACGAAAAGGATTTGTCCTTTAGGATAGGTAATCTAGGAGCTGTCTCCTAATTCGATATCTGTTCGGTTCCATGTCGAGTTTTGCAAACATGATCTGACGTCACAGCATATGTTGGCTGTGACCCCTATTCCTACGCCTCGATCATCTACATAGTATGTACATAGCGGTTTTAGCCTTCATCGTCTCTCATATCCCGTTCTGGGCTTGTTTTTGTCCTATTAGGGATCTCGATTTCAGCCCTAAACAGGCCAAACAGCAGTCAGCCGACGTTCAGCCACTTTTAGTCCTCGTCCTACTCCAATATATATCACTTTCCTGCACAACCGCCTTTCCTTCTTTCTCCAATGGTCCAATAACCTCAATATCCTTCTGCGGGCACCCCTTTAAAACGTCCCTAGTGTGCCAGTCCATAGTGAAATTCTCCTTATTGCCCGGACCGGTCAATTCGTATAACTGGTCGTTGCTAGCCGCGAAGACGATGCGACCGATATGTGCCCACTGTGATCCCGCTCGTCAGCCTTGCCGTTGCACTACATAATAGTGTACCTATACAGGCGTACATATGAAAATATCAGACGCACGTAGACGGTAGCCGTACACATTCCGCACGGCTCCCACGTGCTGAAGAGTGTGCATTGCCACAAGAACTCTTTGGTATAATGTTTATATGCCAGTCTGGCCAGCTCGCTCTCAGCATGGTTGACTTGGTCCACGGACTGGTGCGTCAGTAGCACCGTGTCATTGTCCGGTCCTACCAGTGCTGCGGCGAAAGGTCGCTTGCCGAATGTCACCGCGCGGCGCTGCACTATCAGCGCTGCTTGTATGCCAGCTGCGATTTGTGCTGGCGTCATTGGTTTGCGCTCTGGGAAAAGAGCTGGCACCGACACGGCCGCTGTGCCGCGTTCCGTCTCCATTAAGAGCGAATAAGATAATCAATGCCGCCGTATTTCTCTTAAATTTGCAATCTAGTAGTTTATTGTAGATTCCCTCGATACCTAGACTACTTAACATGTAGTTCAAGAGTACGCTTGGATATGTCAAGACTGCCTGTGTACTTGTTTTGGGAATACGGCAAGGCCCGATGATAAGAACCCCACCACAGCTTTTCTCGGAGATAACTTGAGATAACTTGACGATATCAAGACTCCGGAGTTATTTAGCTCAGGTATATCATCTCAAGGCATATTATTCCTGATAGTATCCTGATAGTATGCAATACGCATGCAAGTCAAATTATTAGGTACCTGTAAGTATAAGACAGGTCGTTACATGTACACATGTAGACATAAGAACGTCATCTATGGCACATACGCCCAGATAACGTGATGTATTTAATTGCGGTTCTCTACCGACTTTCTATTTCTCCCAATACGACGTCAAGGCTAAAACCCCCTATACATGTATCTACAGTTTAGCATGCGTGCCCCCTATCTTCGGCTTGATAGGTATCCTAGGGTGGTCACCAGCTAACTTGAGGCCTGTTATAGTCTCCAGCTCATCGACTGCTTCAAATGCTTTTCCCAGAGGCACCTTTATAGTTCGGAAACCCAACGTCTTAGCCGCTTTTAGATTCTCGCCGATATCGTCAAGGAAGACAATGTCATCTGGCTTTACCCCTTCTTGCCAGCCCAATGATCGTCCTCTTCCCTCGTCGGAATGAGACTTGGCATATTTATCCACCTCGTTCAGCGCATACTGATAGATCTTGGGGTCTGGCTTCCGCAGCCCTACGTGTGCAGAGGACACAAAAACGTCAAATAAGCTCCGGAGCGGGTCGGCGAAGAAATCCGCCCTATGGAGCGCGTGGCCAGGTGGGAAGATGACGGTGTTGCTCAATGCGGCGAGGATAAACTTCCCACTAGCCTTCAGATTCTTAAGCGCCGGATACATCCACGGATCTAGATCTGTCGAAGAAGTCATCATATCGTTGAAAAGCCAACGTCCATCGAGCTTCGGTACTGGAGGAATTTCCTTTGGGAGGTTCGGGTTCTTTGACTGCTGGACCTTATAGAATGAGGCCCACCTCGTCGGATTATGAAGGTCTTCGTTGAAGCCAGTATAAAATGCATCGTCCAGGAGAATCTCTCCCCTCTCTAGTCTATGCCAGAAACCTTCAGGTGCAGTTTTTGATATCGAGTGGTTAATCCATCCTGGCGGGATCCCTAGACTTAGTTCATAATCTAATATGGACTGAAAGGGCGAGATGGCCTATTTCCGTGTAAGCAGCGTTCTCATACTGATATGGTAATGATAACAAAATGAATAGGAAATTACAATCGAGGTAGCTTTTCAATATTGCATAGCAAATGTTGATGATACATTCGTCAGAATAGCTATGACTTACACAGACTCCTCCAATGTCAAATAGGAGCACTTTTGGTTGTTTATGGGCTACCATTATGAAGTCCGAGTCCTTTAAAGCTTTCATACATTACCATCTAGAATATATAAGCGTCTTAATTTATATTATCAGATATTTGATATGAGAAGATGTGTCATTATTTTGTCAAGTGTATGAAAGCCAAAATTATCGCCTGGGCTCTCATTGCAATTATAGTCAATGGCCCTCAAGACATGCCTCGGTTGATGCAAGCCATCCCACGGCACGGAAGTACAAAGTACTTGGTTTAGGGAACTAGTCTACCAGATAAGCCAGATAAGCCAGATAAGTGGTCCATGCATGAAGTCAGAGCTAGGGCCAACCTTCACTGGACGTCGTCGCCCACCTCAGTTTGAGACTTTCTGATTCGTACCCCACCAAAGCAAAGGTTCACAAGCGAATTTTAGCCCACATCCACTACAATTACGCCCACAACTTTTCTCTTGTCGCAACTTTCATCTTTTTCCCCAACTCCAACCCTTTCGACAACCGTGCTGATTATATTCGCCCATCAGCCAATTCAATCAAGATGGTGAGTACAGGATGAACATAAGCCATTGCAATGCCAGAAACGGCGAATATTGCATTAATGGTATTTGATCGCGAGAGTCAATGCAAGATGCTTCGGAATGGAGGAAAATAAAATCTGAAGCGCAAATTGCTGACTCGATGGGATCTTGACAGGCGTTCACAAAGTCAGTCAAGAGTAGTGCCTACTACAGGTAAGTAATGCACCAATATAACTAAACGATCCTAGTTGTTGCGAAGATAATCAACCTAACCAATACCTCATCACAGCCGCTTCCAGACCAAGTACAGGCGCCGTCGTGAGGGAAAGACCGACTACTATGCCCGTAAGCGCCTGATCACCCAGGCCAAGAACAAGTACAACGCCCCCAAGTACCGCCTGGTTGTCCGCTTCACCAACCGCGACATCATCACTCAGATCGTCACCTCTGAAATCTCCGGTGACAAGGTCTTCGCCGCTGCCTACTCCCACGAACTCAAGGCCTACGGCATCGAGCACGGTCTTACCAACTGGGCTGCCTCCTACGCCACTGGCCTGCTCCTTGCTCGCCGTGTCCTCAAGAAGCTCGGCCTCGACGAGACCTTCTCTGGTGTTGAGGAGCCGGATGGAGAGTACACCCTGACCGAGGCCGCCGAGCACGATGGTGAAGAGCGCCGACCCTTCAAGGCCTTCCTTGATGTTGGTCTTGCCCGAACCTCCACTGGTGCCCGTATCTTCGGTGTCATGAAGGGTGCTTCCGACGGTGGTATCCTAGTCCCCCACTCCGAGAACCGATTCCCCGGTTTCGATATGGAGTCCAAGGAGCTTGACGCCGAGACCCTGAAGAAGTACATCTACGGTGGTCACGTTGCCGAGTACATGGAGACCCTAGCCGATGACGACGAGGAACGATACAAGAGCCAGTTCCAGAAGTACCTCGACGACGACATTGAGGCTGACGGTCTTGAGGAACTATACACCGAGGCCCACTCCGCTATCCGAGAGGACCCCTTCAAGAAGGCTGAGAGCGATGCCCCCAAGAAGAGCAAGGATGAGTGGAAGGCAGAGTCCAAGAAGTTCAGGACTCCCAAGTCCACCAAGGAGGAGAAGCGCGAGAGGGTCAAGGCTAGAATTGCCCAGCTCCGCGAGGAATAAGCGGCTGGGTTCTGGGAAAGGATAAAAATGTCACTCCGTATTTACGGTTGTCTTCAGGCATCGGAGTTCATAGGGATGGCTTATTGACGGGTTACTAAACGAATTAATGAAGTTTATCGACCGTCATTGTCTTGATATTAAGATGTGTCTGTGATCGCCAGGTAATCGTCTTACTTAGGGGTTCTAGGTAATTTCCCTAGCTCGTAGGCAGTCTGTTGTCTTGACTACCTAGTTGTCTAGGTAGATACCTTGGGAGGTACGTAAGGTAAGAAATTACTTACAACTTGCCTACATAGCAGAACACCAAAATCATGTCGATCCCGTTGTTAAACTAATATTAGTGTCGACTCGTAACCCATTCCCCTAAGCACTACTATCACCACATATGGATCCATACTCAACCCAAACTTTACAGTACGGCTTCCACTAATACCTAACGAAGCCTCTCGCACGATACCAACTCAATTTAGGCCGACAATATAATTTATCGTTTCTAGAGAAATAGGGGTTCATATGTCTCGCTCACCAAGTATCTGTCGGTAGATTCATCCTATTGCGGGAACGCTGCCCGCTACCCGGACGGGACAACGCTTGATTTTCATCCAGATTCTAATATTGAAGATTGGATTTCGTCGGATACGCAAAGGACAATTGAACACTAGTTATCCGCTAATATACCAGACTATAAATTGACCTAACTTGAGTAGGACGTCGCTAAACTCCGCTTCCAAGTAAACTCCGTCTTTGGTTAATCCTAGAATAACACTACATAACGGTCATGGGTGGAGTTGAACACTATCCTGTCCTATTGTATGATACCAAAACCTCATATTATAAGTATTTAGAGACGGGAATTTGGTTATTGTCCGACGGTATAAACGACGATGCCGTCGGCCTAATAGGTTTCAACGTCGTAGAGCCATTGTAGTTGTTAGGTCGGCCGAGACCTCGGATATCGCGATGTCTGCTTTGAAGAAGCATTACATGGCCTTCCAGAGGGAAAAAAAGAATTCAACTGCGGCCCTTTATGGTTCACCCGACTATGTATAGAGAAAAACATGTACATGATTATATTTATGCATAGTGGAATATAGAGCTTCGGAGATATATATGGTGTCTTCTTCTCGATGCATAGCTTAGCATAGTTAAACTCTATATCGGCCGGTCTTATCATCCCTACTACTCTATACCGAACAACCCGACCAAATATACCTGAACTGCTTATTATCCGGGCTCTATAGAACGGTCCTAGCAATGTCGACACCTGGCAACGATAAAGGGGCATCACTAGGCCGTCTTCTTAGGCTCACCCTATAGGTCTACGGTAATAACGAAAATAAACCTGAGGACAACGAAGCTTTCTCGCGGGACTATCTTACCGAAGTTGCAAGTATCCATGCTCGGAACGGTATCGAGATGTACCAGCAGGTATGTAAGAGAGCAAGCAAATGTATGCTAGGTAAACTAACAATCCTCTTTACTTTTCTAGATTTTTGCACCGGCACCATATCGCGCCGCCTTGGAGGAGATGAACCATCACAAGAACCGGAGCTGGGTCGAGAAATACGTTGATGGCGGCAAGGTTGTGAATGTTGGCCCGGATGGGAATGGGTGTATTTCAGTTGGTTTGGTGGGCATGTTGTTTTGTTCCGAGGTCTTGAATCTTGTAGTCTGGGGTTTCGTTATTAAAGGGGCCCCCTTTTTTATATATAAATTTGCTTTAAGGCTTACTACTAGGTATTCCCTGAAACTCGCAATCTTTCATTTAGGCGAAACTGGAGTATCTAAGAAGCAACTTGAACACCAGAATTGAAGCATTTATCTTCTGTCACGTTTTCCTCTGTATTAGAGTTTGGGGTTTGGGTTTGAAAATCTTATCATCATTGTCTATATATATGGGAATTGTAGTTATGACATCTTACAGGTTTAGGCCGGAAGATTTAATCCTAGTTAGTTGATAATTATTTAACTACGAAACTAGACCTTGGATTCTGTTTTCATAACTATTTCATTTTGTCTATCATGCATGGTCAGAAATACCAACGCTATGTGTCTGACAGAGTCATGGGAATGTAAGTTGTCCCGGCTTATTAAATCACCGCCCCTAGGGAGGCGTCGTTGCGGAATGGCACACCCGGTGTTGTATGCATGAGGATACCGCCGAATACAACCCTCGCTCGTGATTCTGCTTATTCATACCTCGTGGCTCTTAGGTGTTGGGTGCTACCTTGAATATCCAGAAGGGATGTTAGGTACTCAGCTAATAAAAGTTGTACCTAACTATCGTTAAGGGATTGTAACTTCACTTCCTTGATTTATTAAAAGTGCGTTTCGAAGCAAGGGATCGAGTTGGGAAGCAATGCATCTGCCAACTGATAGGCTCACTTTCGGTTATAAGCACTCCGTTTAAGTTGTAGTAGATAGACGCTCGGGTTTATAAAGGAAACATCTCGTATAGAGTTAATTTTGGGCTCTAGACAGTACAATTCATTGGATTACGTAGGGCCTCGTCATGCCATCACGATAACACATCACAACTTTCGAACTCATCACCAATGACAATGAGTCCCCAGTCATCAGTACCGATAAATAAGACCGGTGCTTATCAGGCATGGTTTTGCTACGTTTATAGGTATTCGTACAACCAATTGCGATTTGTTTCATTATCGAACTCGATAGTTATGATTGAGAGTATACAACAACTACGTGTCACGTATAAGATGTACTGACTTGTATGAGCAGCTACTATCCCATCTCTCTTTGTTAAGGTAGAGATGGATAGGGTTGGCGTCGATTTTTGTTCTTTAAAGAAACCCAATTGTGCTCTTTAGCTAGGCCAATGACAGAAGAGGTATTTCGTTGCCCTACACTAACAAACACATGAGCTTATCTTAAACGGAGACTAATAGGCCAGTAAAAGATGTCATCATCTTAGTAGTTATTGCCAAGTCAAAACTTACCTAAGTATCAGCTCGTTGATGTGGTTGAAAAATAGGGAACGAGGTGGTCTGGAAGGGTCTTTTTGGGACCTGACTAGCCAATCTAGATAATAAGCTACGTAAAGAAGGATTGCTTTTGGATTAGGTATGTAGCATAGGTTAGGTATTGAGGTATACTATGTTTGTTCCCTTTGGATCGCCATCCTGGACTGATTGCCTTATGAGGATGAGAAAGCTGGCTCGAAAAACCTCTGCCGGCGGGGGGCGGGGGGCGGACGACGATGGTCGATCTACAATGACCTCCTTCCTAATAGGCGCAATTGAAATGGGAAAGTCGTCTATAAGTCGTCTATGTATGGCATATATATGGCATATGTATGGTATTCTATTCTGTCGGCAGAAGCCGGTCACCTGATGGGTTCATGCTCGCTTGATGCTGGTTCGCTTCTACATATGTATGAGGCAATGATATCAACTTGTGATTGCACGCATTCAGCCATTTGTCTCAATTTCTTGGGTGGTTTTTTGTTGCCCCTCCTGCTTCCTCATGCTTTCTGACCCATAATATTGGAACCAAACTGGACAGTTGAGAAAGGAAGCATGTGACGTCTATTGATCCGAGCGTCATGTTGGTTCGTTAATTGTACTAATTAGGACTACATTAATTGGGGTATTCTCTAGCGTGCACGCTACTGGCGCATGCAACGCCGGAAAACAACGCATGTACATGTATGACTGCATCGGGGGGGCGGTATGTACCGGGGGTACCCCGTAGATGTATCTGTTCTCTAATGATTATGTGGGCAGATACTTACATATCGTCCCCTGTAAAGTCCGGCGTTACTGGATTGACAGCGGCTGGTTGTTCCACTGAAAAGCACCCATAGCAATCCATTTGCCTGGATTAGCGCTGAAGCCGACTCCGTCGTAGCATCTCGTGGAATAATGAAATAACGAAATAGACCTAGCCCAGACCGCCCGCCTCATCTCAACTTGACCATGCTGCCATGTCGCACGCACCGTATTGTGCAACATTCTAATAAAATTACTTGGGGGGTTTGAGTGGAATAATAAAAACACGGAATGAATATCTTACATATAAATCTTGATAATATGCATCTATGTACGAAGTACCAGGGTTACTTATGTACTACTCTGAGGTTGCACCGGTGATTGCGGCTGCTGACATAAACTTTGCACATCTATCTCTTAATCTTTTTTTCTCTAGCTACGAACTTAGCTTACTTTCTTCCGCCTCTTTTTATCTTTTTCTTTTTTATCTGACTCCTTTTTCTAATAATACTGCTACTACTATCGTGCAATAAATAATACGGCCATTGAAAGCTCTCCTTAATTAACTAGTCATCCCTTTACCTATCATTAACCTCCGGTCCACTCAAGAGCTATACTCACTACCGAACCGGCCCTACCTTAGTCCAAAGTGGTAGTGGGTTGACCCTGATAAATATATTGCATCATTTCCTACATATGGACCTGGTGAACCCCACCCAAGTCAAGCTCTAGCCTTTTCTACATACTCATTCCGTACCCTGTTGTCTTCTTTTTGAACCCTTTAGATTTAGAACCGATTTAGAACCGGGACGCACCCAAGAAGGTCTGATATCGATCCAAGTAGCAACTACTCAGACGTTCGAAAATGGCGATGGCTTGGATGTAGCCCTTGCTTGATCAGCAAATACATATCGTAGTCGGTTGGCAACAATGCTTTATCGGAACAACTCGTCCTTATTATTTCTTTGACCTGGCAACTAGCAACTAGCAACTAGCACCTAGCACCTAGCAACTGGCAACTGGCAACTAGTAACTAGTAACTTCACGAATGCCAATTCATATTATCTCGGTTTTTATTTTACATAGAACCCAATCCAACCTATTCTAACCAACACCCTCGTGAACGAGTACTTACCCCAAGACCTACCCCGCCGCCACGATCTAAGACAAGACAAACGATACGTCCGTACGGGTTTACATATAATCGGGTGTAGACTCCAGCTCTAAGGGATACACAATATATCTTTCGTATATCGTTCAAAGGGAAGTGGATTGGTCGGCGGAATCGAACAGTAGGTCAGAGCACAAGGGAAACAATATCCAGCATGGAGCATGTTATGGATGTGAGCTGGATGACACATGGAAAAGGTAATGTCCATGTCTCAGCGTTAGAGGACTTTCCTTTTTATTTGCTGTCTTGTTTTCTGTTTGAGTATAAGCCGTAGGGACTAACAGTTCCTGGAAATGCAGACAACTGGAGTAACCATGGTACCAACTGGAACTCGTCTAACCAAAGCCAAGACTCCTCTACTTCGAATCGCTCGAAGCTTTCAAACCCGAGCAAACCTAATGGCAAAACGGACACCTCATCGCCCGCTACTACTAAACCGATACCTCCGCGCTCGGGTAGGACAAGAAGTCAATCCGTCGAAGGATCGCCGAGTCAAAATGGTACACCACCCCAAAGGAGAGGCTCGTGGTTTTCTAATATCTCGTCCAAATTTTCTACCTCTCCAGCAAACGGAAATACCACATCTCCGGCTCCCACACCCGAGTCCGACGCCGACGAAGTAGCCCCTTTACCTAAGATTACACCAAGCAAGAATGCCGTCCTTCCACATGCGTCGCGCCAGAGTGGCGATGCTCCATACATACCCGCGCCTCCGAGGACGAACCAGCCTGGCTTGTTGGGAGTCCTTCGTCGCCTGTCGTCTTCGAATAGCGCCATTGCGCCGGGCTCCAGAGCCAGCCATGGTCTCGTGGAGCGAAGAATTCTCAATGTCGACAAGCATAGAGAGAGGTGTCGAGTGAACGAGCTAAGCCAGGCAAAACTTCGTCGCGTAGCCTTCTGTGTCGATGTCGAGATTGCGCCTATGCCTAAATATGCAGATGAAGAAACGGCGTGTAAGAAGCCTGTCGATAAAACGCAGAAAAAGAAGATAACCGAAAAGGGCGAAGGTGAAGCATTGAAGAACCCAAAAGCATTAGAAGAGCAAAAGGAAAATATCGGACTGGTCAAGGCGACTGGCGAGACCCTGCCGAAGGAGCCCGAGAAAGAAGGTACCGAGGTGACAAATGGAGATCAGAAGGGAAATAGTACTACGGATGTTGACGGGCCTATAAAAGAAAAGGAGACTACCCGCAAGAAGGAAAAGAAAAAGAAGAGTGAGGCGGAACGAAAGGCCAAGAAGGAACAGAAACGCAGAGAAGCTCTCGAGAAGGGGGCTATTCCAATGGAATTATATCTTGACAGCGACAGCTCAACAGACGAACTCTCGATACGATCCGGAACGCAAAAAACTCAGCTAGCACCTACGACGAACCCTGGTAGGATATATCGCCGTTGCTGCCAGCTTCGGGAGACAGATATTCTCACCAAGATTACCCTGCAACTTCCTAAAACCACGGAATCCTGCCCCAATGGTGTAGTGGAGAAGCTTGACCTTAGCGGATATTTCATGTCTCTACCGGACTTGGTCACGTTAGGAGATTTTCTTGCTGTTGTCCCAGTTAAAGAAGTCATCCTTGAAAACTGCGGTTTAACTGATGAGGGTGTTCGTGTTATTCTCGCCGGACTTCTAGCAGCTCGAAAAACACCTAGTATCAGACACCGAAGATGCTGTTCTAAGCCCACAGACTTGACGGAACAAGGTGGCGTTGTGGAGAGACTCGTACTGAAGAACAACAGCAAGATTACTGTTGAAGGCTGGAAACATATTTGCCTCTTCATCCACATGTGCCACTCCATCAAGTATCTTGATATCTCGAGTTTACCATTTCCTACGCCGATAGAACCTACAAAAACTCCAATTACTCATCACCTTCATCACAGCGTTGGACAAAGTACACCAGCTCCAATTGACTTATCTTTACTATTGTCTAGGGCAATCGGGGATCGTTTGGCTGGTCCGGAGCTGGAGCTCCTCAACATTGGCTCGATCGGTTTGACAGCAAATCAACTAGGTGCCGTAATCGACGGCATCCTTAAGTCAGGAGTAAAAAGACTAGGACTAGCAAATAACGGCCTTGATGCGCAAGGTGCTCAACACGTGGCGAGATATCTACGCAATGCAAAGTGCGAAGGAATTGACCTTGGTGGTAATGATCTTCGAGACCATATTGCCGACATTGCTGCAGCTTTTGATGGAAAGGACGAGCTCTGGGCTATGAGCTTGGCTAATTGCAACCTGATACCGGCGTCGTTATGCAAGATACTTCCCAAATTGGCAAAACTTCCCGACTTCAAGTTCCTCGATTTGTCACACAACCGCGCGCTCTTTGAGTCTGAGCCTAATGCCATGGGTCTGCTTCGCAAGTAAGTAAACGAATCCTATATATACCGAACTTTACCTTGTTGACATTGCTTCGTTAGATACCTACCTCAGATGGATAGCTTGAGAAGGTTGCATCTCGCGGATGTTTCAATGTCTTCGGAGCAAGTGATTTCTCTTGCCGAGATCTTGCCCGAAATTAAGGTCCTAGCGCATATTAACCTACTCGAGAATTCTGACATCGTCACCTTAGCCGATGCTCGGACTGAGGAGGGCCAAGAAGAAGCGTGTGCGGTATATGCTTCTCTTTTAGCCGCCGCTCGTGTATCGAGAACTTTGATCAAGATCGATATAGATAACCCTAGTCCTGAATCTGGCGAGGTTGTCAAGGCGCTTGCAAACCGTGTTGTGGTGTACTGCATGCGAAACTTGCAGGGCGTGCCAGATATTCGAGATTCCGCCGGTGAGGACGGCCAGCCAGAGAAGTTGCCGGATGTGCTTCGACATCTCGTGGGTCACGAAGAAGATTCTCCATTTGTTGACGTGGACAGCGATATCGAGCCGGCAGCTGACGAGGATTATGTAATTGGTGGTACGGGTGTTGTGAAGGCTTTGGCGTGCGTTTTAAAGAACCGAGGAGACGATACTAGACGATCCTCAGGTGAATTTACCAGAGATATCGAATCTGGTACTTCGACGCCTAGAACTCGTTTGCCCCCAGCGAAGGTCAAGGATATGTCCAAATACTTGCTTATTAGTGCACGGAAGATTCGTGCTCGGTTACAGCCAGCCCTGGCTATGGCCAAGGCATCTTCCAACGAGGACATCCACAACTATCGTAAGGTTTTCCTTTCTGTCACAAGTTTATAGTTACTAATATCGCTACAGACCGCCTCATCTTCCTCGATCAGACAATCGAGGGCATCATCAAACGCTTCGAAGATGAGTTCCCAGAGACACGTCAAATGTCATTAGAAGTCAGCATACCGGATCGGACGAATACCGCTGCATCCGATCCTAGTCGTACTTCGTTCTCCTCTGCTGAGGCAGATGCCGGCTTATTGTCAGATACGGAGGATATGGAAACCGAGCTTCGCTCACCCAAATCTCGGTCCCGGTCTAATTCTATTATCTCGCACAGCTCTAAAGCACTGGTCGAGGAAGAAGGCCGTGCCTTCCGTGTCAATCACATATTCCGTTCAGGCCTAATCAAGCCCGAACACTACGATCTACTCACCAGCGCCGAGGAGATCGGGAAGAATCCAAGCCATGTGACGGTGGTCACAAGTATAATGGACGAATTAATGGGAGGAGATGAGCAAACCAAGAAGGACATCCAAGAGAAAGGACCCATTCGTGCGTTCCAGCAGCACAGGGAAGAAATAGTCAAGAGGTTGCGCGAGGAGGATCCACAGTACTGGGAGAAGTTCGTCGAGGCGCAGGAGAAGGCGAGAGCCAACGTTCAAATGGACGTTAAAAACGGAGCCCCGCAACCACAGGAGAGCGCGGTCATCGACGAGGAAGCTATCGCCGATTAATCGCGGATGAGCTAGACTGGGGGGAAATACTTCTGTACCGATATGTATACTACACCAGCCCATCTTTCCGAGCGTTCTTCAAAGGGCTCTCTTAACAGGTGGCGTTTTTTTGTATCGCTTCAGATAGGCATCGCGTACCGCGGGCCGCAGGCGTCAGACTTTGGTTACGTGAGAAAAGGGGTAGGGCGGGAAGTGGTCACGTCGTTGTTGATTTATGTACCGAATCCAGGTTCTCGAATAGGAGACCAAATGGCTGATTAAGTAGCTGTCTGTCGTTTTTTCTAACATGATGGATGATGTTAGGCGGATCGAATTGATCCTGCGCTTGTTATGCATTGTTAACGGTGTTCTTGGTTTCTGATATCGTGACGGGGTCGATGACGGAGTTGATGGGTTAAGCTAAATGAGAGACTCTCTTGACTTTGTTGAATTTCATCTTGATTCGGATATGCTTTAAAGCAACTTCAACGTTTCCCAGTATACACTGTCTGCTTCGTAAAAGTTCCAAAGTGCGTGACAGTTCCTCACCAAGAGATAGAGAAAGGGGTTTATCAAATGCTAGAAATTACCTAGCTAGCTTTATTAATTTTTCATTTTTTTCGCATCGTATTCATCTACATAGGTAGGTGGTAGATGAACCAAAGATTATGTAGGTACCTAATCTTAGGTACCTAGGTAGGTAAGGCATTCGCTAAACCGCTACATTGCGAGAATCAATCTCGCATGAGAACATTCCTAGGAGCCCTGGTCCTATCAATCAGACACGGCTCGTCCGTCTACCCTATCTCCCATTTTCGGCGTAGGCATATTCGACGTATCCGCTCTTTTAAAATCATCACATAACACCTCGTTCGATATATGTAGCACCCGAACCCGAGACCAAACCGTAGACCTGAAAAGGGGAAGAAAAAAAAACACGCTCCCGCGAACGCGATGGGGGTATATATATAGAATGCCTAGGTAGTTAGTCCATCCTCGCTATCGCTAAATTCCAAAAATGATGCCAAATCCAAACCCCTCCGCCCGCCCGGTGAATTTTTTTAAAAAAAAACGGGCGGCGTTGTTAAGGGGTTTCCTTTACCCCTCAGACGTAATTCCGCCCCGCGTCCACACAGCCCATTCCGCTGGCGGAGAAGCCGCATCGGCCGGGCCGCATACCGGATCCTTCTTCAACAACGCCCCAGGCGATAGGGCGGAGCCACAGATGACGATCGTCGCCCTGCATGGTCTGGCCCGGCGCAACGACATCGTGGTTATGGCACTTGGCGCTTATAACAACGCTGCAGGAGCCACCACCCAAAACCATCGGGTTGCCCTTGGCCTCTCCGCTAGCAAGCGATGCTGCTGGTGCACGTTTTAGCCCGAGGCCAACGATGGCAAGGATGAGGATTAGTAGGAGACTGAGCAAGGCGATCAGCGCTTGTGTACTGAACGAGATAGCTACGATCTTGTTGGAAAACGGATTCGGTGATCGACGTGACGAGAGAATGATGACGCCGGGAAACATGGCCTGGCTGAGCGCGAATCCCATTGCGGCAAACCAACCAACCAAAGCCCACGAAACAGGGCGAGGTAGCGTTAAGTAGAGACTTGTATTTTGCCCGCCGGCTGCGTTGGAGGAGACTCGAAGAGGTCGGGGGCCGAGGGCGAAGAGAGACAATTCGTGCGAAAGGAAGTACGTTGTGAGGTGAGAGTTAGTGACGAAATAGAGCATAGCGAGAAATAGTTGTGGCAATGCAGCGAAGAGCGCCATCTGCGCTGCCTGGACATGGGAGGGTAAAAGATAGGTTAGGTGAGGTACTGCGACGCCGAAGGGTGTGAAGGGGTTTTCTATGACCTTAGGGACTAGGAATGCAACAGCAACCGCAGTCGGTGCCCCAATTACTAGCCAGGCAAACGCCGTTAGCATCCAGCGGGGGAGCGATGGGGTCTGTGCCCAGAAGTGATTAGCTGGAACGAAGAATCGAGCTTCGCTAGAACCCCAACGGCCTTGTTTGACATCGGTCTTTGTTAATAGGCACATATCGGCCGTCGTCGGATCGGGATTGCGGAGAAACGAACGGATCGAATCGCCAAGTGTTACGAGAGGGTCGAAAGTAGATCTTGCTAAAATGATCGCCATGCTAATGACGGATGCGAGGTTGAGTAGTACAGCGACTCCTAGGATGGAACCGCTAAGGTTGACACTGCAGCTCTGCGGCGCACTCGGGCGGGCGAGGCAGTGTAGAACAAGTGAGCCGTCTGGGGCCACAATATCGTTGTTGTTCGAAGTGAAAGTAGTTAGTGGAGTGCCGGACTTGCTGGTATGAATGAGAGACGATGTAGTGGAGGTCGAGTCCGTGATAAGTAAAACAGTATCAAACGAAGGTTGGAACATGTCGCTGAATTCGTGTAGACAGGTCGTCGGATCCAGGTCAGTCAGCCCATTCTGGCTGCTGGCATCCTGGAGTCTAGTGATATCGATATTAGAGAGTCCGCCCTCATTGAACCTCGTATCGTTGCTAAAAGGAGCGTGGTCGAGAAATGATTGTGTTACGAATAGTACGTCGTAGTTGACTACATTCTGAGTCGTGAAGATTACCGCATTATATCTATAAACTATTAGCACAGTAATGAAGGCTCATTTAACCTTGTCATACTTACATTACTTGAGTTACGACCGCGCTCAAGAGGGCAATGATTGCGATCGAAGCTCTGAACCCAGAGATATATGTGAAGTTGCGTAACGAGGGTATGCCGATATCAAGCCAATTCCTGTTTCCATGTGCCGCCGTCAACTCTCGTCTCGTCGGGCTCGAGAGGACCTGGAATACGTAGTTTGCTCCGGAAAGAATGGCGACGCAAAATATATTAATAGCGATACGAATTCCGACGTTGATATGCTCGGCTGTTGTGCAGTCGCCCGAAAAGATGGATGATTCTCCAGATATAAGTTTAGATTTGGTGATGACCAGTATTAAGCAGATAATGCCAACGAGTAAAATTAGAAACGAAATTAATGTGTTGAATATGATTCCACCTCGCCATCCGGTGATATGCCTCCGTATGTTACTTTGTTGACTCCAGTTACCACTTGTATCTAGATCACGACCGACATCTAAACTAGGGGAGCAATAATGACCAAATTCGATAGGGTGTGACGCAAACGTCCCTCTACGAGGCGTAACTTCGATACCATGCGGCCCCCATTTCTTTTGTTTCTTTTTCTGTGCTAGAGTCTCGGGTGTTTCTCCTCTTAAGAAGTTGACCACGTAGTCTGGGACGATACTCCTATCGATGCTTGCGGTATCATCATGAGGGCGGAAGAAACTTCGGGGCTGTCCCCAGGTTCGAAGGGTGAAATGACTTGATCTCGCAGTCGAGGGTACTTCTGAACCATGACGGCCATGAAAAGGCCATGCGAACGAGGGTCTTGAAGCGTTCGACGGTCCTGACTTTGACGGGGTGTACGGCTGGTCTTCTTGAATCATGTTGGACTGAAGATCTTCCAGGCGAATGTGATCACGCCGCAAACTGCCTGCCCAAATACTCGGTCTTCGGTTCGAGTCCCTGGTGGACGTGTGCGTGTCAGATCGTATACGGCCCATGATTATTAAGTTACCTATATTACGACAATAGCCATCCCGAGTGAAGATCAATTTCTATACCCTAAGGCATACGTTCATACGAACGGGAAACTGAGGCGAGAGAAGCGAAACAAGAAACGAAAGAAACCACCGCACAGCAGGAAACCGGGATGGAAAAGGGATTAGCTAAGATCGAGAATAGAGTGCAGGGTCTCTCAGCTCTTTTGTACGGAGGTGGACCTGACACCAACCCAACCAGGCCCCTCCCTTATTCCATGATCGCCCCGGCCGGCCCTGTTTATTATTGGGCATGGGTCACGGAGCAGGGTGGACGGTTAAGCAATTTTTAAGCAAGTGATGGTACACGAGCCGCTCCGGGATAGTGTACTCAAGGGTGCATCAAGACCGACCAGGGTACGCATAGTTCCTCAATTTCTTGATCCAGAGCCAATCAGAGAGCAGTGTTTCGAGCGACTGGACCTGGATTGGGCTTGTGCATTGATGGTCCGCTGAATGAAACCTACATAGACTTCGTTAATTTTGACAACGCGAGGGTAACTAACCGTCGTCCAAATTCGTAATGGGAATATAAATATGAAGAGGGGAGCTATCGTTTATCTCATCGTATTGCTAGATGCGATGAAGATCCTTAGTTGACTATACTTTGACTTCGAAGGTCTCGTAGATCGAAAACACTTCCTTTCCACAACATATACGCAAATTGCGGTACATTGCAGATGCAGCTAAGTATAGGTAGTCAACCGGTAGACACGCTGTCTTGCAGAAGAGACTCGGGAAAAGTAGCCATAGTTGCCTCTTACTTTATCTCGAAGAACTTGTAAGCCGCTTATATCTGGAAATTCTTTTTAATGCTAAAAGATATTTTAGTTGTGCCTTACGAGTACTTCGTATATGCTCGTAATATGTGCTCGCGAAGGTACCAACGTGAAAAGACTTTTTGAATATACGTAAGCGTGAGCGCGAGCGGGCCCACGGTCCACGGTCCACGGTATATGTATATGTAAAGCATTAAGAGGTGTGGATAATGTTGCAAATCGGCCATGCATCCAACCATGACGATAGGGCGGCTAAGCTCACCGGGTTATCTGTCTATTCCCTCCAGCACATCGCTCGCTAAGTTAATGCAAAGACGAGTACCTCGTGTCGGCGTGGGATTTGTACGACTATGCGTGGGGAGAGAGGAGAGAGTTGAAGAATTTTGAGATGTTGCAGATGCTGTGAGCTGTGAGCAGGGGGTGGGATGGATCATAGCAGGGCTATGCTAGTCGTTTCAGCCGTCCTTAAGAAAACTATTATGATAAGGCCCGAGAACCCACTATCATCATCCGATAATGCCGCTCTCTTTTGACAAGGTGAGCCCTGTCTTTTTGAAGAATAGAAAAGGGGGGAACCCAGGAATTAATTCAAATATCCCTTTCATCTCCTCTCGAACGGTCTTGCGATATTGTTCAGCTAGAGTAAACTCATTCTACAATGTACGATTGCACATACGTATGCTGTTGATATAGCTGTTGATATATGCGTAGAGTACGTCATGATCAAGAACAAATCAACATCGTCGAATGTGTCGCGCTCTGATTCGCAATAGTGAAATGCAGTATGAAGCATGGTTCGTATTGGTAGGTGCTTATTTTTCTAGATGTTTTAAGTCACATCTTGGCTTTGTTTTAAATGCACCTAGATTTGATCTAGCAGTTTGTAATTACGTGGATGTAAAAATGTAAAAAACTTAAGGTTTGATAATGGAACATTGAATGTCCATTTACCGTATTCCGTATTCCGTAGTTAGCGTGCCACAGTATTTAGCACAGTGTATATCATAAAATTGTACTGTGGGTGATACTTAGTTCTCTAATATGACTACAATTCTCATTGCTAGTTACATAATCTGTAAAGCAGTAGCAAATGGGCAGTGTGATCATTGTTACCATTCTTCACATAACTCAATCAAAAGACTTTACCAGAGTACTAGCTTTTAATATTGAGATACCAAGAAATCAGATAAACGTTGGTTGAGCCCATGGTAGTTCGTATAAGTACCTAGAACTCTAGAGCTGTTGGCGTGTGATATATAGCCCGAAACCTGCCGTATATATCCATCAGAGATTAGTGGTAATTCTTATGGCAACGGTTCTCTTCAACCCTCGGAAACTAAATTCCCATGCCTGCATAATAACAGCTGCAAGCCAGTATCCTCCCTGTAGCGGTACAATGCGGCTGATTTCCAACCATCCCAATCTACGCCGTCATCTACTTTTGCAGCATCTCGAAGCCCTTGAAAGAGGCCGAGAAATCCATCCTAGTCCGTGAGATCGTATCCGCAACGAAAAGAAAACCTGTGCTATAACCGACCGTTCCGGACAACCCTTCCAGATCCGGACGACTCTTTTCCCCTAAGATGCGTGCAAAGGTAATTTCATTGCTGCCCAGATTATTCGTACCTCGATAGAATTCAGCAACCGGCAAGAGGCCAATGGGGGAGTTAAAAGCATGGGTTGGCGGGGCGGTATGAGCCCACTCCCAATCAATGATACCAGTGATATGAAAGTCTTCATCCACCATGATATGATCTCCCTTATCGTCTGCGTGTTTCAAATAGTATCTTTGATCATCCTGTACCAACTTCGATAACGCAATAGGGACCAAGTCGAGGAGAAATCGGTGTATTAGGTAGGCATCCACTGCTTGCTGCGAGTAGATCTCTTCGCGAAGAATCAGATCCAATATGAGTCGAATTTCAGACTTGTGATACTCTTCCAGAGACGAGAATGGACCCATTGTGCGCATTTCGGATTGCACAAAGTCGGTCAGTGATTCCCGAGCAAATGCACTGACATGAATGTCGTTCAGGCAATGAAGGGAGCCAAGACGATCGAAGGGGTATTTGCTAAGTTCGACGAATACGTCCGCGAGCTGTTCCATCATTCTTCTCTGTTCTTGTGTTGCAAGAGACCATCTCAATGACTTCCCATGCAGCTTTTCCATTAGAATATAACCAACTACAACAGAATTATCCTCATTATCCAGTGCAAAATAAAACAGTTTCGGAGCAGGTACACCAGTCCGCTCGAGGAACTTGAAGGTTGCGACTTCGCTCTGGACGATATAATTTTGCAGCACCGCCGGAGACGATGTGGCGTTGAATCTACGCACACGGGCGATCCATCTGATTCCGTCGTCAAAACAGACTTCAATATGATAATTCATACCACCCATCACCGAGCTTCGCGTTACTCTGTCGTACTGAAGCGGAGGACCTGAACAGGGTATTCCCCCACGCAAGGGACTAGCTCGAGCCGCCAGAGCAGGAGTGTTGATCTTCAAGAGCTAGACTAACCTCCCATTTGGGACATTCATGAACGCCATACTGAAGGTGTTGGGAGCATAGATGGCGGTTGCACAGTATACAATTACCGAGATTGCGGACGGCCGGTTTTCCGCAACCAGCAAAATCGCAGGTCCACATAGGAGGTAGGCATTGTATTCAAAGTTTCCGCCTAAGAACACGGCCAAGTAAAGCTCTTACCACTGTAGCACATTCGTGATACGTAATTAAACGAGCGACTCGTTAGAACACCAGAGCCTCGGATTTGTTGGCTAACAAGCTACGTGTGGTATCCCTTAGACCCAAGCAAGGGACATTTTCTGACTCCGTAAAACTAAGCCTCATTACCAGTTGATAAACTAGTGGGTGTTAGGGTATCGTGTAGCACAGAATGAGAGGTGGGGGCCTAGCTGCTAGTATAGGGGTGTCTTGATGACTGTATTGACCCATGCCCCCCCGAGAATAACCTCGAGAATAGGGAGGCGTAGGTTCCGTGTAACAGATGGAAAAATTAAAGATCGGCATATTCAATTTCAAGAAGGAAATTAAATATATATATTCATAGTTCCGCGCTTATTCGGGCAGGTGTTATAGTTTCCCTCTCAAAAATGACACCATTGATATATTCAAAAGCTGACTTATTCAGTACTACCTCTATTTTTACCGTATACCTTATAGTATTTGCGGGAGGATAGTATCGATTGCCAGTACCAATAATATCTAATTCATGAACTGCTTAGTGACAAAATTACAATCCAGTATAATTGCCCAAGATAGATTAGCCCATGCTATAACTCTAATATTTATTAGACAACTACTATAACAAGCAAGTCTACGCCAGGTCAGCCGTTCATTCAACTTATGTCTAGAAATAGATAGGCACGCTAGGTATGTATCTATCTCAAGATAGTGCTAGTGCTATCTAATATAAAACTATGGTACTTAAAGGTTATGGCGTACAAAAAGACCTTATACATTCTACTCGATAGATATCGCCAAGGTCAAGTTGAAAATGGGAGAATGGGAACCAACTATGGATTGTCGATGTGGCTGAGATAGTGGCACATATATGAGACCTTTTGGCGGTGCGAAGAATGAAAATTCTTTACTTGTGTCACGATGTGGAACTAAATAGCATGGAAACAACTTCATGTTGTTGTTCTGCGAGGAACTCTAATCTAACCACGGGAGCCTGTGGCTATACGTACTGAACACATCCTTTGCCCTAGACACCTTAGCCCAACCAACATTATGGTGAATCAAAACGGTGGAATCGGAATTATCGATTGGGAATTGGCTGGATATGTCCCGTGGGAATGGGTTAGAAGGAAGTTTGGCGTATCATGGGGATTGGATTTTGAATGGCCCAAAGATCCCGAAGATCCATCTTTGCGAACGTGGAGGGAACGAGTTGAACAGAAGCTTGGTGAAGCAGGAATCCCAGAAGTAATACAGGCTTGGAAAACGTCATTTAAAACGCGATGGGCTTTATCGAAGACGGCAAAATGATGAACAACCTTAGGCAGCTACCTCCTAGATAACATTGTTTCTAAGGGGATAAGGGGATGCTGTGGGGATAAGGGACGAAGTACTGGTACTGCTATTATAGGTAACTACCTTAGCTAAGTACATAATTCAATCAACCCTCGTGCAGGAATGATATCTTTCAAGCCTGGAAGGAGGCAACAGCAACAACTTGTTCAGAGGTATATAGTGCCTGCCTACCTTGGTACTATCCATAACAACTTATACCTCGAGGCAGAAAGTGCACTGCGGTTTATCTGCACTAGACCTCTAGAAATTCTTCATGTTCCAATGACTGCTGCCTATCTTAAACCTCTTATCCTCTTGATCACCGTCTAACTGTTCAACACCTTTCCTCATATCCTAATTTCTGCAACTTCAAAAAGTTCCTCTAGCAACCTAGACACGCAGATACCTTATTTCCGGTGCAAAATCTCAATGACGACGCCGGCGATGCCGCCTCGGCCTGCAGCTACGGCTGATCCTCCTTCGGTCGAGGAAACCAACGGTCCTACAGGGGCGGAAGGTGCGCGATATAGTCGTAAACGGAAGGTATGTAAACCTGCCAGTAGTAGCAGGAAGCCGCACACTAATATTAAGGCTTTATTAGAGAGATGAACCAGAATCGCCAAAACTACGAGGACATTTTCTCGAAGTCGACGAAAACGATATTGTCAGATCTGTCCTTGTCGATCCTGACCATGTGTCGGGAGAAATTGAGATACCAATCGATGAGGCCGTCAAAGTTTCTCCGCGTAAGACTAGTCACAATCCAATTCAATGGCGATCGCATAGCGAAGTCGCCATCGAGGTTCGAGAGTTTAAGCAAGCACTGGCTCTTCACGATTTGGTGGACGAGGACAACGTTCACCTCATGGTTGTTACTCGAGATCACGTTATTATCCAAGGTCAAGTTGACCAGGTAATAGAAATGTATCACACCGTAGGGCAGTCATTGGGCTTCAGTAAGGAGCCGATATGTTGCTGCCTGCAGCAAGTATCAGGACAACGAAATCTTTTACGCCGACAGGAGCACAGAAAGGGGGGATTGGTCAATATCCATTACGAGTATATACCGATGGACTGGAAGAAAGCGAACCAATTGATGAGCAAGGAATTTCCTTTGATTGATTATTATGAGTCGCTGGTGGTTTTGGAGGTTCGACTGGCAGACGAATCACCACAAGGAAAGTTGAAACCTGGGCGCCGACTAGTACCTGTCCCGACTACCTTGACACCTGCATTTATGAGGGAGGCTTAGGTATTCTTGCTTCGTTTGCTCTATAGAACAGATTATTAACGAATAAATACCTGTTAGCTGATTCGTATTACACCCCTATATTCTAATAGGATTTCCATGAACGGTTCTATCGTCAATCAAATTACGCGGGCACTTCTCTAGCTTAAACTTTAATAGTCAAACTAAAAATACCATCCTAAACTGCAGCTGCAGCTACTTGATGCCGTTATATATTGGTCATAAAAAATTGATGATAATAACTGAAAGTCATATGTCGACCCTGGAGTTCATTAGAGAAATGGGAGTAAAGAACTAACACTTAGAAGCACATTTCTTTTTATGAGGTCGACGAGGGATCTACATCTCGATCTAGATCGCAAAATAGGAAAACTTGACTCATACGGCCGTCGAGTCTCTGATGTCTTTTATGCAAGAGAATCACAGGCTAATCCAATGACGATCGCGTAACGACTTGGTAGACTGGAATAGTGTCCATCTTATCTTGTTTGATACACCTACTAGAGTACCTGATATAGACTCGATGGCACTATTTGAACAAGGACAACCTCTAGTCGTCTATTTCGAGATGTCTAATGTGAATTCCCCTCGGTTGTACCCCCTGTTGGATAACTGCCGCCTGCTCTCTCAGCCCACTCACAGCTACGTTACAGCTCTCGAGATCTCCCACTTCTCCTTACAACAGCTCCATTTTTAGGGAGTGAGAAGTCTTTGGCGGAGAGCCGCATCCACGTGGGTATGCACTTCATTCCTCTCTACACTAGACGGACCTGCTCTTTGGGAATTGTCCTTGGGAGACGACGCAGGGTCTCGTTGAAATGTGGATTTGAACTGCGTCCTGAACCCATTATAATATTCTCCTGTGGTTAAGCCTAATTGCTCAACCAACCTCCTCGGCGGCGAGGCATTTTCCTTACTGGTCGCGATAGAGTCGGTGACCGCATTACGAACATTCGTGATATCCAATCCTCCGGGGAGGCTTGTTGTCATTCGCCGGATCGTTCTCCACTGACAGATCACCGTATCCACGTCTTCCCAGAAACAACAATCCACGTCCAATCGGCATCGAGGAGACCAATCAAATTCCCAATTCACGGGTTCCACTCAGCACGAGCCGCCGCCGTAGGGCTTCAGAAGCCTCATAATCTTCGCGGGGATCTATCTCCAATGAGGCTATGGCGGTTCCCCTCTTGTGTCAGGAACGGTTATGTTCGTTACCTACATAGATTTGGGTGGCCCCTCTTGATCTGAGGACCTGCTGGACTTTGACCCGCCGCGCTGCCGGGGCGCCGGTCGCATTGTTTTAGGGAAAGGTGGAACCTTCACGACATACGCAGGTCCACGTCGACGGTATATCCGTCTGTCGGGTACAGTTAACAAATTTTCGACGGCGCAATTTGACCTGTCGCGCCTTTCTCCCCCCTCTCGTCGTACGACGCAGACTTAAACCATGCCGTCATTAAGGTTATTTGGGCTTTAGGCGAGTAAAGCGTTGTCAAAGCTTTTCAGGAACCATCATGTTACTGGTAGTCCGTCGGTAATGGGAGGCCTTAAAACGTGCAATGATTTCACGGCCTAAAGGTCTGCGGGTGACATGCTATGTAGGTATGTAGTCGGGATCTGACTGTCGACCTACATACACGGTATCCACCGTCGCACTTTATGACGGACCCGATCTTCGGCGGCAATCTTTTTGAGACTTGTCCGTTCCCCCGGGAAATCGGCATCTTAAAAGTCAATTAGATGCCATTATCCTATGTGAGGCTTTGAATAGAGAGACGACTGGGAGTATATTCTCTATCTGAGATTCAGAATGATTAGGTTAATTACCCCTCGTCTCGAGCTGCCTCGCCTCTTTGACCCATCTTATTGACCCCTAAAGACTTCCGTGCTCAAATGGTTCGTAGTCAAGACGCAATGGTTATTTTAGGTACGTATCATGGAAACTAAAGATGTAGTACCTTATTCCATACCGGAATATGCAGATACGTCAACTTGAGAGATTATTGAGCGACTTACATAAGGTATCCGATACTTAGGTGTGGCGCTAATCTTGACATGAAGTCAACGACTTGAGAGTACATTATGTAGGTACTTATATAAGAAACAGTAATAATAAGAATTGATACTTGTCAAGGTAGTTTAATGTATGAGATACGAGACTACACCTGTCTATCGCGTCATTGGTGTTGATCACGGGTACATACATGCCCTGACTCTTTGTTGTCATTTGATGATACTTGGTGTAAGTCAGACCATAGATTATCGCACCTGAAAGTTGTCAAGTTCTATAATAAAACATGAGGCTGACATGATCGGGCGACGGGATGGCTTTCTGTAAGGGGTGCTTACGTTTGATATAGGTAAGTAAATTTAATATACGAGGGGGGTTGTATGACAGTTTCTATTATCAGAGGTCGTGTAATCAGTTCGTTCAATGTTCTTAGTGTATGTACTACAAGGTATGCAAGGAGAAGCCCAGATCGCTTACTGCCCGTTCAACCAGCCGTTCTTATGTACATAGTACATAGTAGAAGGTTGGGTACACTACATAAAGTGGGTACCTATGTACCTAGATAAGCACCGCGAACCCCACTACGATAACAGAAGTCCGGGAAGACCCGTAATCTACCGGTATTGAGGTATTGAGGTACACGATTGCACCCTACGGACGGGGTCAAGTGCCTATGCGAATGTCTACGTGATGCGAACAAAAAAGTCATAGCAGCGGCTCACCAAAGAGCTAGAATGAGGTAATTAATTCGGTTTAGCTAGCATTGGCCTAGTTATGACCGTTTCTCCGATCATTTCTTCGCTATCGAGTGGCTTGGGTACCCGAGATACATTTATTAAATCGGTCTAGCATCTAGCTCCCAACCTATGGCATCATATTTGCCTAACTAACCGCTAGTTAGCGTATCTTGTGTGTTGTTCACCTCTAAGATTGGGTGATCCAATTGGTGGTACTACATACATTAGGTACCTATGTACATGCAGTTGGGGTGGCTGACTGGCTGATTGCCTGATTGCATGGGGGGTAGTAGCAGACCGGTGGGTTCTTGTATGTTTTTTTTTGTTTGTACTATGGTTTCTGGTTTCTGGTTTCTGGTTTCTGGTTTCTGGTTTCTATGCGCTCTCCTTTGCGCTTCTGCTTCTACATTCGACGTTGAGGTAAAGTTGTACCCCGATTGCAACAACCACCAAAACGTCCCACGCGACCTGTGATCATCGACTGGTCCCTTAAACATTCTTACGGCCGCCAATCGGACAGGTCACACACCTGCATCCCGCCCTGATTTCTCATGTTTTCCCATGATTTTCTATCCTGAATCCCTTTTCCAGTCGACACCGCCACACCCATTCTCTATAGATTGCAGGACCGCACCTTTTCTACGTGTAGCCTCTCCTCACCCATGTTTCTAGCCCCTCAGCTATTCGTGGTCTGGTTGTTTTGACCCATCCTTCAATCCTGAAACTAAACCTACGTAGCGCAGTGTATTCGAGCCGCCGCCCAAGCCGCTCTCTATAATTGACACAACAACCCTATTCTAATACGGGAGCTAGTTACCGGCATTGTGTATTATTTAAGATCGAGCTGGGATCCTCCCCAGTAGAACGTTTTTCGTCATACATCGTGAATATCCACTATCAACCTCAGCCTTGAATTACCTCCTCTTCCAAGATGGCCTTCCAGCAACCTACACGCCAGGCCACTCAGCGGGTCTTTCGTCCTTCACCTGAAGATGAAGAGTCGTCACAATTACCTCCGTCAGCCTCTCAAGCTGTCCAAGATTCTCAGACCTGGGTTCTCTTCTCGCCCCCCACCGATGCCGGCACCTCGACGTCCTACTTAACTTCAACCCATAAGACTAATAGCACACCGGGTCGTTCGCGGCTGAGTGAAGTTGGAAGCCTTGGTACAGTTGCGCCATCGGGTCCCAGTGCTGGGCAGCAGCAATCTTCAAGCTTTGTTGATGCGGCGGATGAAGACGACGATACCGAGCTAGACAGCTTGGACAGCCATCTTGCCGAATTTCGCTCCGCTCCTAACTTCTACGACTCACCGCATGCTCATCCTTATGCAACACCTGTTGTCCCAGGTCATAATGGTCTCGGTATGTTTCGGTTGGATCAGGGTGCCGACATGCAGGAGCGACTTTACGCATTCGAACAGTACAATCCTCACCGCGCGACGAGACTCGGAAATTTAGACTTAAATCACATCGAACCCGAAAATGAGACGACCCGTGAAATGGATAAGATGAAGTGGATAGAAGCATGGCGTCTAGAACAAAGCCGTTGCCTTCTAGAGGAGATCCAGAAAGAAACGCGCAAGAGGCGGCGATCCGTTGCCAGTGTGTCGGTACCCAACCACATAGAAGAAAAGGACGACGATGCAGTAACAATGAGCGGTCTGGACGATTCGTCAAGTGGAGCAGTAGATCAGAGCCAAGAATGGCATGATCACGACGGAAGTGAGCAAGGGGCAGATGACGAGAGCATCTGGGGACGCATCACTCGAAAAGTTGTCCGCGACATTTTGGGAATTGACGACAAGATACTCTCAATCTTATTCGGTGAAGAATTACCGGATGAAGAAGACCTTCCCTCAACGCCAAAGCTATCATCGATACCCACATCTCAACAACCAGACATTAGCATGGAAGATGCGACAGATTCCGGATGGCAGCTCAAAATGTTGGAGCGGGTCGCTAAAGAGCTCGGTTCACTCATTCATCGGCTCTCCGACCATCCTGGAGCCTTCTCGACTTTCAGTCGAGTACAGCAAATGCCTATTCCGTATGCAGGGCTACCCCCCATACCGGAGGGTATAAACGACACCACAACCAGCGCAAGGACAGAAGAGCCGTCCGTGGCCGTCCCCGAGTTCCAGCCAACATTAGCTACACGAGCGCAACCTATCAACGCACCCCAAGTTACACAACCGACGAAGTCAGGTCAAGCTAATACGCAATCACAATCGCAATTAGACAGTTCTGCGCTAGCATTTACACAGGAAGAATGGGAACAAGAGCTAGATGTAAGGCTCGTATTCCGTTATCTCCGGTCACGCTTCACATCACGATCTAGCAACAGCGGTGTGATCTCTAGCAATTCTGGCATCGCGTCTTCGAGCGCCCAAGACGCAGCCGCCAAGGTTGCGCGGGTGCGTCAACACCACCCGTTGATGTCGGGGCGGCGCACTGTAGAAAGGCGCAAGTCTAAGACAACAGTGCCTTCAAGTCCCTTGTTCAAACATGCGTCGAGCTGCGCTAGTCAAAGCACGCGGAGATCTGTTAGGAAAAGTAGCGCCTCATCATCTCGGCATTATTGGGACATCGGCGGTTCTGTCGGCACCGGCTCGATGATCGCAACGACAGGGCCTATGGGAAGTTGGGGCGAGGTCTAAACGTGACGAGAAAATTTTGAATATATCGGTACCAGTCCGAACGAGCTACGCTGTGACGGGTTATGTATATTATTGGGTTTACGGGGCTTGGGGCTTGGGGCTTGGGTTCGGTTGCATGGCATTTTTTACGAGGCGATTTAAAGTCGGTCTAACTCACGTTGCATCTCACATTGCATATCTCATATATATAAGATACCACTACCACTACCTACTACTACCATATTTATACCATTTGTACCTATCTTAAAAGAAATGAAAAAGGCCGATGCTGCGCGGGCAGGTCAACGTTATACCTTCCATTGGCCAATCAAGGATTTAAATTGATTTATTTTGGTGACGTTAATAGCTTCAAATGTTTAAGCTAGCTTAGGTAGCTTATCCTTGTCCTGGCCGTTCAGAACGCCCGATGCATATCGACAGCTATTAGTGACTCCGAAGATACATCTACGCGCTTGGACGTCGACATGTCTGTCTTCCGGGACGGGGGGTAGCTTGCTCGCGGGGCGGACGTCAAGTAAGGCGTCTGGCTTGGAGCTCAAGCTTGCATGAAAAATTGTTACCCATTTGACCGGTCCTATTTTTGGCTGGGTTTTCGATGAGGCGGTCGATAATGAAAGGAACAAGTAAGATGTAACTTTCTGTGATAGATCTCAAAATTTTATATGTGTTTTTGGTGGTGGCTTCAGAGTAGGAACTCTTATGGGTACATTTCAGTTGTTCTGGTACGGACGTATGTCTTAACAGGGATCTCTAAATGTTCCCCATCCAATAAGCGTGTTTCCGCTTCACCTAACACGCGACGGTCGCGCCTGGCTCGGCGATTCTTATTCGCTCCTTTCTCTTTTTGGGAAACGCGTAAAGTGGGCATTTGCGACTGGAAGTGGGAACTGTGGTATAGCAAATGATCTTATGGGAAAGTATTCAGTACGTACCTAATCTATGTATGGATCCCCAAACTCCTCCATTCCTCCAAGCTGCCGCCTGGGCTATTGGAAATTATTTGGTTTCTCCCACTTCACCTAAATATTTTTGTGCCGTCTACAACGGGGATTCTTCAGACACCCTTGCAGCTACGAACTGCGTCGAGTCATAGCCTTTGCTTGTTTCACTGCATCTTACCTACATATCAAGTTGCATACATTGCTGGATCCTATTCTCCACAGCTATCACAACCCGCATTTACGCCTCGACTCCATTTGCGTAGTGCTATCACCCATATCCTTTCCCCCCACCATCAACTTCGGACCAATCCTATCTAGACGCCTCACTCTGAATTCCATAATCATCTCCCTTCCTCAAGCTCGTCTTTCGCATTGCTCTTCGGCAGTACGCGCGCCTTCGCTTGTTGCCTCTTGTACATAAATTACGACTTCTCCTCGATCATCGCAGCCTGTTATCCCCCTTTCCTCCTTTTTCCTACGGTTAGTATTTACCCAAGGAGTCTGGATTGGTAACCCAACGATAGCTTCCCGAGCTCACACTAACATCAGGAGCAGTGCCATGTACTAGATATTTCGGATCGCGACCCAGCCGCGTCCGGTAGGGTCGCCTAGGCTTCCGACACCTCCCATTGCTATCGAGAATAAATACCGAACCATCCCCCCTCATCAATTCCTCTGTCGCTTCATCTTCTTTCTCCCCCTTCGATGCCCTGGACCGAGGAGCGCTCAACCCAATGGCAGGATCCATCCCCGACCTCTCATTACCAAACAGCCCTTTCTTTAATATCTACAGCGATGCGCATATAATCGCCAATTCGCCAGCTCTTCCCGGTGGACCATGCAATTTCGTGGACTTAACTCGCGGTGCCCAGGGACCTAAGTGTGGATGCCGTCGCTTCTGGAGTCGCGGTGCTTTCTCGCCCAGGACAAGCAGAGGGAGCTCAGTAGGAATCTCGCCAGTATATGCTCCTGGATACCCCAATGGAAATACCGGATCCGATGAATCTGCTTGGTGCATGTGTTCTCATCATGCCTGTTTTCATGATGATATTCGCAATAGCCAACCTCCTGTCGCACCCATAGCTAATACTGATGTCGCGGACAATGGCCAGGAAAATGAGCGGCCTAGGACCAGTAGGGAGCCCCTCACACCAGTAGTACCGGATCTTTCTTTCAAGATGCCGGCGCCAGCAGATCCAAGTATAGATTTTTATACGTTCAATGAGTTCCCTTTTTCAAACCCCGCGGAGCAGGAGATTGCGCCGCAGAATCAGGTTGCGGTGCCCTTACCGCCACCTTCTATCCCGGATACGTTAAGTTGGACCAACCTAATTCAATCTGAGCCAGATGAAGGAAGCCAACTCCCCCCAATCCCAAGCCAGTGCCTGATCTCTTCGCAGCCGAGCTCTACGACATCGTCTGCCAGAGTGGGATATCTGCGGCCGTTTGCCGGGAAAGGACTAGGGACACTAAGTGGTGTCAGATCCAAGTTATGCGAGCCTCCTCTAGAACAGGAGGACGAAACCCACCCACAGGAGGAGAATACTGTTGAGCCCAACATGGATCAATCCTTGGATGATGGACAAACGGTCGCAAATACCCCGAGGTCTTGTAGGCATGAGGATATAGTTGAGAGGCAGAGCTTATCTCCTCCTGGACTCGATCGACAGGCAATCAGGCAACTGTCCGACGCTGTTCAAGGGCACGAACAGCGGTTAGACCGGCTCGAGAATCCATCGGTCTCGGCTGTTGGCCATGACGGCTGTGATGAGAAGCATGATCAGAGTGACCTAAGGATAACTGAACTTGAGTCGCGCGTGGAAGAAGTCGAGAAGTTAATTAACGATGGCACGCAGGTTTCTGATCATCGCACCCGGCACCTAAATGTTAACGAGTCCATGACCAGTGTAGCGTCCGTTTCCACCGTCGGAAGCGAGTACGTGGCGAGCCGTGCGGAGCTTTACAGTCAACTTCAAGCCCTGAAGTGCCAGTTAAGTCAACTACAAGGCCTTTCGTCCTTCCCATCCTACACTCGCCCATGGGAGATTGAAGTTATCTTTTTGCCTTTCCCTTTGAAGAGTGTATGGATGGAATTCCACGACTACGCGAGCCAACGCCCTTCAGGCGGCAGTGTTGAACCTGATCAGTGGACACAGCTGCCTAATAGTTCCTCCGTTTTGGAGTCTGCTGAATTTAACGATTGGGTTGGGCCCGAGCTTGAGTCGGAGTGGCTGCTAGCTCGGGCCTGTGCGCCCAACCGTGTTATTGAACAACGGCTTAAGAGTCGGGGTCTTGTTAAGAACGTGACTATTCGCGGCTCGGATGCTCGAAGCGTTCATCAAGCTATTTGTGATGCATTCGGAACTTTGTTCCGTACCTTCTCCCGTATGCAAGCAAATGTTCATCATGGTTCGACTCAACACTACCGCGTGACCAAGTTTCTGGGTCTCCAGTCGCCATGGGTACCTTTGCGCAAAATACATAAGGATTCAAGACTGCGGTTCCTATCGCCGGCTGAGATGGTCACACCGGTGACATGGGACGTTTCATTTCTACACTCAAGCGTAGTCATGAAGGCAACCGGCACCCAACGTCTTTTTATTACTCATCCCGAGGCGTACCTTCAGGATCAAGATGCGTACGATAATGGGTGGAATTGGCAGCGGCTGCGAGAATTAAGCCGCGTTTACGCGAATTCTCAAAGTGCCTGTCAAGAAATTCCCGAGGCAGATGCAATGGAAGATTGTTGGGCGTGGAATGACAATCTCGACGAGCATCCCGCAAGCACCAATACATCTCAGCCTATTAGTCTCCGACAGACAGCACAGCGCAATTGGCACAGGATGTCTATGTCGCCGGCCCCGGGTCTTCTCATGGGAACTGCCCGGCCGTCCCCTTCTCTTGGGACTAATCGCTCGGCTTCCCGCTTTAAATCTCCGGCAATGCTCAGAGAACGCAAAGGCTCTAGACCACCTCATGTTCGCACAAACTCTATGCCACCAACAGCACAAATTCTTGAGTCGCCTACCCAAGCGAAACGGCGAGTGACATCATATGTTCACCAATACGAGCGCCGCCCGTCACCGCAAGTTGTCCGATTGATTTCTGCAACGGGACATATCGCAGCCGTCGCAAAACGTCGAAGTACTCGATCTCCATCGGTCCGACCGCGGAACACGCCACGTTGGAGTACGGCATCGCCCAGCCCGGTGCCCGAAGTGTTTGTTGCTCGTAATTCGACACCATTCTATGCTACGCCGCATAGCAACGCTCCTGGCTTCGAAGGACGGGCTGGTCGTAGCGTAGGCATTGTCGACGACGGTGGTGATACGGGAGAGAGCGGTAGCGGGACCGAACATCACGATGGCGAAGAATATATGGACGAGGACGATGATGACGACTCAGCCGATGATAGCCCTATGGTCGACTTTTCACACCAGAGAGAGTCCGAGGAGTCCTGGCAGGATGGGCAATTGCATGGTGGTCCGGAAGACGAAGTGTGGCGAGGTATAGAAGACGCAGAAAACCACGATCCCGAGCTTGGCATTGATATCCACGAGGATGATGACGCTATGAGCGACGACAATATGAGTCAGGGTTCTAGCGTCCCAAGCGAGTATCCCAGCAATCAGCCGGCGTTGATGGATGCCGAAGAGGAATTTCGGGTTTATGAAGATGGCAACCCAGCTGGGAAGCGAAGCCTTTGATTTATGCCCAAGTCTTAGACTGTTATTGCTGCATTTAGATTTCATACTTCTCGGTTAGGGCGTATCGTGCATGATACACAATGCGAGGGATTTATGTTAACGAAGATGGCGGCATTGGAGCATGGCGTTTGGGGTAGGTATAACATATTGGGCTACATACTATTGCTACTTAGCGGATCCTCTGGCGGATGTTGTCTTGTTTATAGGGCGAGCGATATGTTGTCATCTGGCCCTCGAGCCTTGGTTATCTTTCCCCTCTCAAAGATGTCTACTTTTGGATATGTTGTTGGTTTCCCGGGCGCTCTCGTGCTGGGCTATGTTAGGATAGGAGATAGGATAGGAGATAGGATAGGATAGGATAGGATAGGTGAGAGGAGGCGTTGGGTATTTAGTAATGGCAAAAATCATCTCTTTGTTCGTGTATTTGGTTGCCTGAAATCACCTCTTGCTCCCTTAACCATGAGCGAAGAAAAGCAAAATGATCGTGCAGATTATGCCCAAGGTTTTACACCTTATTTTATATTTATTTATATTTATACCTTAGGATATTATATCAAACGCGAGTAAAATTTACTATTTGAGATATGTGCCTCGTTACCGTATGCGAATTCTTCTTGCCTTACACGACAGTGCTTTTTATCTTTGTTATATATTTTGGTTTTGGTTTTATGTGCACCTTGCGCAATTGACAATGTTATTATATTATACATTAATTACAAGAAAACAAACTTTCCTTAGGTTACTTCACTACCTCCTGACTGACTCATTTAACAGTTATTTTATCTGAAATTCCTCTGCAGGAAATTGGAAACGTTTAGCCAGCTCTTTCATATCTGATACCTTATAGCAGTCAAATACCATAATGCCAACACGTACCCATAAATCTTCGTCTATTTCCTTCCTGAGGATTAGTAGGAAGGCACTAAAACACCCTTCATCTTGATCTTCATCAATATCCATTGTAAGATTTCCCAGCACGACACAACGCCACCGGCCCCTTTTCTTTTCAGCTCTTTCGCTAGCTCGGCTTCGGAATCTACTCCCTCTGATAAGCGCACCTGATCTACATGGTAATTGTGTATTTTCCCTTCTCCCGATCCCCAGGGTCCTCGGAAGTCGATCTTGTCGGGAGAGGAGATATCGCCCAAGTTTTGATGCATAGAATCGGATAGTGAAACATGTCTCCTAGATCGCCGGATTCCGCTACAGCGCTTATCGTGGATATACTACCATGTCGGTCCTGCCTGTAGATAAAAGTGACGCTCTGGTATCACGGACTTCATAAACCCTTCACTATAGGGTGTGTCTACACCATTAGGTCTGCGACCTCTCCACTCCACCTGGCTAGCCCACCCAGCCCACGTCCAGGACGGGGGCACGGAAGTAGGAGTCATATGGCTAGGGAACGTGGACTTTCGTCTAGGCTTCACCGAGTCATCCCAACAGTTCTGGACGTGGCTCCAACAGAGTCCTGTAGCGAAGATGTCGCACGCCAACATGGAGCCGCCCTGAAGGTCATAATTATACTTCTCGTTAAGATCCCAGGGGATGTCCCAGACGTGCTTAAGGCAGGCGTCGGTCCGACGCAGGTGGTTTAGGACGCCAGCCAGAGCGAGGAGGGAGTCACTATCATACTGCAACTCACGCGCCGTGAACGCTTCCACAATATTATTAGTATAGTACATAAGAAATAGATGATGTTCTGCATTAAAAGTACTCCATATATCATCCCAAAATTGTTCATTTCTCCTTGTCTCGGTAACAGTTGGAAAACATTTGATCAGAATCAAGTGACTTATTTTCAAACGGAAATACCCAAATTCTGATGTCATTGAATTTTCAATTGCCCTGAGCTCATAATCCCCCCCCGGTCGGTTGCAAAGGTCCCCATTTCCCGCAAATCGGGGGATCTAGAGCGTGACAGGATAGTACATACGACACAGTCTGTGGATTTAGGTTGGCCCACTGGTCCTCTTCGGGGAATAAAATATTTCATCATAAAACATCCATTGACGGCTACTAGTTTACTTTTGAAAAACGGCGTAAGGTCTAACTGAAGACATTCATCGCAAAGTTGCTGTTTAGGGGCCATTTCGGTTCGTGGCACTCTCGATATTGTCGTTACGTGGTTGGAATGTTCAACAAGGATGAATACTTTTGGCATGCTTTAAATTCATATAGGAGACATAAAATACCTGTATTAGAACTATGATATTTAAGTACCTGTCAATAGCATATTCCACAACGTGTAGTAAACGAGTATGTAACGAGATGCTTCGTAATAACTATTACACCCAGATAGGGCATAAAGTACCTACCTAGGTACCTAAGGTAGGTATATATTCAAACAAGAAAGGACAAAGACGAAAAGGTTTACACGTAGATGGAGGCTTAACTAGCGATGAGCGTGAATCCATTTTCTACCCAACCCCGCACCACGACTACCTAACTTTGCGAACATATATTACACAGACTCCGGCCGCAGCCAGCCGACCTCTCCGTCGGCCTATCATGGCAAAGGATGATATATTCTTTTCCTATCGCTCGAATCTATAGGATTATACCACGTGCCCCGACTCCTTGATAAGAAATTGTAAAAAAAGAGCAACATGTGCTGTGCTGTAAAGTGTCTCTCAAATTCTCATAAGTTCGTAATTCCAGGTTCAGTCTCCTGAGGACTAAATGACAACGGCCTTCAAATTAGAACTCGGGTACCATAGGTGCCTCGCCACCGTATTCTTCTGCATTAGGTATCTACCTAGGTACCTGTTATCACGGTGCTCGTAAGCAGAATTTTATAGACCAATAAAACCTTTCACGCCGAACCATATCGTGCCAACAGGTGAAACAGTCGACCTTCTCCCGCGCAGGCCGCTAAATCACATTCCCTTCTTTAGTCCCACAGCCGAGCAAACAAGATAACGAACGGCTCGGCTGTCACCATAAAGATACCGTATCACGTTGCGGAAAACCTAACCTGTAACGAACGATGGACTTAGGAGCGGCTGGCCGGCATCGTGTTCGGCCTCGGGCAGTAGCGAAAACGACTCGCGTGACGCGCGTGTTCCCTATGATGTAGGTGAATATGGGATTATGCATTCATAGATTGATGCTGTTGTGCTTGCTCTTTACTCCTAGGCGCTCGTAGAGCATAGTGAACTTGAGTTGCGCCCCCCTTTTCCCCTCTTGCCTTATTGGGATTGTGTAAAGGCTGTGGTTGGTGGAGCTTTTAAAGCTACTTCTTTTTAGTGCGCGCCACAGTGACTCAGCTTATTATTGTAAGGTACCTAAAATACCTAGGTACCTAACCTTACCTAAGATTCTTTTCTCGAATGTAATCTCGTGCCTCTTATAAAACACACCTCAAATGCAAGGCATAGTATCACAGCATATTGTGATCGATAGGACCCATCTCCGATTTACAAGTTTGCCTACCGAACGATATGCAACGAGCCTCACTTTTGCATAACCTAGCGTTCCGTACCGAGGCATGCATCGTAAGAATACAGGATAGCTGTCGCTGATTAAATATGAAGACTCCTTAAGTCAACTTAGATGTACTAGGAATATTCAAAATTTCGAGTCCATCAGATCCAAAAAAAAAAAAAAAAAAAAAAAAAAAAAAAAAAAAAAAAAACACAAAAAAAAAAAAAAAAAAAAAAAAAAAAAAAAAAAAAAAAAAAAAAAAAAAAAAAAAAAAAAAAAAAAAAAAAAAAAAAAAAAAAAAAAAAAAAA